CATTCTGTCTTCTGTGGTTTAAGATCTCCCCAATCCAGAAGGGGAGCAAAGGAAAGTGAGATCCATTTCAAACTGCCTGAAATCCACTCACCACAACTGCATGTCTTCCTTGCTGAGCCCCTTCCAACCCAGACTTTTTGCTGCCTGTGGTGCCTCCACTTGTCATGCTTTTTATAAGCTACAAGAATGTAGAATTTGGTGGGTGATTGGTTGATGATTTATCATCATGGTTTGTATTTTTGGTTGGTTTTTTTGGAGAGGTTAGTTCTATGTTTGCTTGGGGGTGGTTGTGGAGTGATGATGACAGTTGGTTATTGGTTTTCATACTAGGAAATATAGAGGAAGGTTAATTGAAAGTGTATTGATGACAAATGATTTGGATCATGTAGGGATATATGGTTTAATTATTTGACCAAAAAAAAAATTAAAGATTTAAGATAAAAAAAGAAGAAGATTAAAAAAAGAAGATAAAAAAGAATGCGTAAAATGGAATTTAAATACTAGTTCCTAGTAAATGATAAAATAATTAATATGTCTGGCAACCTGTACTAAATTCTGCAGCCATCTGAAGGGAGCATGCACAGTGGGGAGGGAAGATGTGCAGGGAACACACTCAGCATTGTGTTCATCTGGGTTCTACCAGGAAAATTCTGCTCCTGCACAGGCAGCAGGGAGAGGAGAGAGTTTGAGAGTGATGTGCCTCATTCAGGGGCAGGATTTGGTGAATCCCATCAGACATGAGCCTTGCTAGAGAGACAGAGAGACAGGGAAATGCTTTCTCAGCTGGGCCTGATGTGCTCAGTAGGGCTGGCAGGGAGAGGTTACCTGAGCCCAGAACTCCCCCTGGCTCTGCAGGCACTGCAAGTGCAGCATCCTGCTCTGAGGGGTTTGCTGTTGTCTCACAGAGATAATGGCTGAGCAGAACTTTGCCTTGTGTGTGAGATGAGATTGTGGAGTACATGGGGATGCTTCCTGCAGTTTCTGTTTTCCTGCTGGGACAGGGAACAGCCTGGAAGAGTCCTTGCAACTCAGGAGACTCTCTCAGATCACCTGACAGCAAAAGCTCTTCCTTTGTTGTCAGAGATGGGAACAGAAAACACTGGAAGCACAAAGAGGGGATCACAGGCTTGGTCATATTTCTGTGTGACAGCTGAATATTTATGGCTTTGCTGCAGCTCCAGTCTCCTCTGAAATGTGCTTATTCTTCTTTCTGCTGAGGATTTTACAGCATGTTTTTGTTCTCCTGTGAGTTTCCTTCCCAGAACTGTCTGCCTTCATCTGGGTAATATTATCTGAACCAAAGCAGGAGCTTTGGGTTTCTTTTAAATGCTTTTGGAAAAACTGGCGTGTGTTCAATCCTAGCTGTGGCACAAAATGGTCTTTTCCAGGGTCTTAAGGTGACAGAAGCTGGAATTTGTCACCCAAACCAAATAAGGATAAATTGGCACAAAGGAATAACTAAAACCAGGAGTTTATGGATGTGCCCTCCCTCCCTGCTCATCCTGATCAGGGCAGTGTGGATGGAGAGGATGTCAGTGCTGTAAGAAGCCCTGGAGACACACATGGGGATGGTTATGGTTCATGAGTCTGGGCTTTGAAACCTGTCACAGCAGAAGTCAGAGCATCCCTGGGGCTGTGCAGCTGCTGCTGCCTGAGTGCAGGAGCCTTCCTCCCTGGGAGGAGGCTTTTCCAGGAGATGGGAGGTTGGTACAGGGATCAGAGCCTCACTGTGTTTCCAGTAGGGATCTCTGACTGTGTTTGAGGGGTTGTAGGATGAAGGAAGAGATGAGGATCTGACTCCACATTTCAGAAGGCTTGATTTATTATTTTATGATATATATTATATTAAACTATACTAAAAGAATAGAAGAAAGAATTTCATCAGAAGGCTGGCTAAGAATAGAAAAAGAAAGAATGATAACAAAGGCTTGTGGCTCAGACTCTCTGTCTGAGCCAACTGACTGTGATTGGCCATTAATTAGAAACAACCACATGAGACCAATCACAGATGCACCTGTTGCATTCCACAGCAGCAGATAACCATTGTTTACATTTTGTTCTTGAAGCCTCTCAGCTTCTCAGGAGGAAAAATCCTAAGGAAAGGATTTTCCATAAAAGATGTCTGTGACAGTGATCAAAGGCTGGGCTGCTTCTTCACCATTGTGAGGGTTTGGGGAGTCTCCTCTCCTCCCACCAGGGACAGGTCAGCACTCAGAGCTGATGCTTCCACAGGCTTGGGAAAGGATTTATAGCAGCTGTGATGTTGGAGGAGTGACAGGAACCAGCCCTGAGGTGAAATTCTCACACCCACTCTCTTGTGGAACATTAAAAGTAGCACTAAAGTGTCATAAACAGTGTCCAAGTTCTTTCAGTAGCAGAAGGCTCCTTCAGAGGATCCCCCTCTCTTTGTGTCCAAAAGGTCTCAGTTCAGCATTAGAACAACTGATTCCATGCAATTCTCTCCTACCTCACAGGGAAAGTGACTTTCTGCCTGTCCTTTCCTGTTGATGGCACAGGAAGGCTGTGTCAGGAGCTTTCCACTGGGACATTACAGCCAGGCTGGACAAAGCAGGGTGCTCATCCTGCAGCCACCTCTCTGCTTTCTAATCCACGAGGAGAAGGATTTTCTGGGAGAAATAAGACTTTTCAAGCTCTGTTCTCTGTTGGTTTGTGAACTCCCATTTAGGTTGGCTGTTGGAAAACAGATGTGACAGATGACAGGAACAATTCCCACAGGCCTTGCTTCCCAGATGTGGCCTTGGAGCAGCATCCTGGGATCCCCGTGGATCCACAGCTTACACCAGGATGTGTATTTGCCTGATTTCAGGCAAATATCTCATGAATCCCCTTGGATTTTTCAGCCTGGATTTCCACCTGGAATCCCCTTGGGTTTTCTCCTTGGATTTTTCAGCCTGGATTTCCACCTGGAATCCCCTTGGATTTTCCACCTTGGATTTTCCAGCCTGGATTTCCATCTGTAATCCCCTTGGATTTTCTCCTTGGATTTTCCTTGGATTTTGCAGCCTGGATTTTGCAGCCTGGATTTCCACCCTGGAATCCCCTTTGGATTTTCCCCTTGGATTTTCTCCCTTGGATTTTCCAGCCTGGATTTCCATCCTGGATTTTCCAGCCTGGATTTCCAACTGGAATCCTCTTGGATTTTCCACCCTGGATTTTCCAGCCTGGATTTCCAACTGGAATCCTCTTGGATTTTCCACCTTGGATTTTCCAGCCTGGATTTCCACCCTGGAATCCCCTGGGATTTTCCCCTTGGATTTTCCACCCTGTGCCCTGGAGCTGGATGATTATCCTGCAGGTTTCTATGGAAATAGAGGCTGGTGCTGGTTTGAGCACGTTTGTCTCTTCTTTTCCTTCTGGAGTATTCACAGACAGGAGTTTTGTTCAAGGAACAGCTGGAATAAATAGGAAATTGGGATTTTGCTGCATTCCCACTCTGTAGGGCTTGTCTGGGCTCACTGCACTCTGCCACTGCTGCAGACAGGAGCTGGCATCATGCACTGGCAATGGGGAAGATCCCTTTCCTTAAATCTCCTTTTCCTCTGATGATATTTTCCACAGCAACCAAGTGTAATGTCAGCAGTGGAGGCTGGGGATTGATGGATTGCAGGACAGAATGCACAGATCCACTGGGAGATGCCAAAGCCCTTGGTTTGGTGCAGTTGATTTGACTGAAACTGAGTAAAAGTGAAATCCCCAGTTCTGATTTCAGGCAAATATCTCATGAAACACAGGAAACAGAGGAAGGAGACAACACAAAAGGTTACTGAAGTGGAAAGGCAGTTTTCAGAGGGGCTTTAATATTCAAATGAATTTCATTTTCTGGTTGTTACTTTGAAACATTTGTGGAATGCTCTGAAGTGCCTGTCATTTGCCAAGCACCACACAGAAATCTCTCAGGTGATGACACAATTAAAGAGCATTATATGGAGCTCATAATGCAGAGTGGATGCTTCTCCATGCAGGGTTAGCCCCTTTTCTCTCCATCATAAAAGTCCTGATGAAACCATGTTGAAAATTAATTTCTTTTTCTGTTTTTGAAAAGGTCAGTCCACATAAGCTGAGGACAAATTAACACCTGCAGTAAATCAAAGTAGAGCCTTTAAAAGTAGTGAAGCTTCTTTGAGTTACACCTGAGCCTGTGTTTTAAATGTGACTATTTTATTTTTTGATCTCTGGAATGATTCCTGCCCACTGTGAACTCTGCCTAAATGCATCTGCATTTCTGGAATGTTCTAACCAGAAGCTGACAAATGTGACTTTCAGGGGTTGCCTTTGTCCCTGGACTGTGGCCTTGCTTACAGAGCGTGCAGTCACAGCACATTCTCCTCTCCTGAGTGACACATCCTTACCCTTGCACTTGTACAAGTTGCTTGCTTGGCTGCCCAGAAAATGGATGAAAAACAAAATAAGGTGCTGAGCCTGGGAAATGCTGTGCTTTTGTGGAGCTGTGACCCAAATGCCAGATTTTTGCCTATCCATGGGGATGTGGCACGATGAGGCTAACAGATATGTGTCACTTGTGGTGACATGAGCACAGGAGAAATGTGCTATTTTGGCTACAGGCATGTAGAAATTCATGCAATCCCTTCCCTACCCTTCCATTTGGTTGGTTAATTAGAGCATTGCTTTCACAAAGGCCTTTTCTGCTGAGTGCTCAGCACAGTCGTGAAGAATTGAGGTCTCAGCTGATGGATGCAGCTCCTGGTGATGGCTGGGGGTGCTCTGTGTGTTGGGTTGGACCCTGGGAATGCTCAGGCTCTTGGGGAGCAGTTGCAGATTCATATTTGTGGGATATCACTTAAATGGAGCTACAGCAATATTTGGAAGAAAGCAAATTACATAAATTAACAACACTGGGCTGAGTTTAATCCACCAGCTGCATCCTCGTGTGCTCTGTGGCCACAAGATCCTGATTTTCCTGCTTTATTTTAAGGAACCAAAGCAACATGGAAATGAGAGCTGTCCTTTGTGCATTTCAGGCAGTGGAGAAGGCGTTTGCAGTGCCAAAGGGATTTTACTGGCAGACAGTTGAGAGTGATGACAAACACTTCCCTGACAGCAGTGCCATGGAGGCTTGCAGGGACACAGACATCGAGGTAAAGAACAACAAACAACCCCCTCCTTCCTCCCCTGGGGCTCAGGGGGGACACTGAGGGACAATGAAGTGCCCTGGAATATTTCAATCTAGAGCTTTGATACAAATACCGAGCTTGAAGTATTTTTCCCTCAGACCTAAATATATCAGCTGAGTATTTTATGTCATCAGTATTGATGTGCTGATTGCTCTGAGCCACAGAAGATTAAACTTTGAAATGTGTAGGTTGGAGAAATTGCTACCAACCAGGTGCAAATTTGTAAGAGTAGACAAAATTCTGATAACCTGAAACCACTTGACTGTAAGTCAGTAAACAGCACAACTTGGATTAAACTCAGAAACATTCCAAGAAATTTCTGAAGTTTCTGGTACTGCCTGACCTTGAGTAACTGTGTGTGTGGTATGAACAAGTAGGGAGCATTTGTACTGACTCTACCCCAGGAGAAGAGAAGGTTAAAGTGATTTCAATTAGCTCTTGGTGAGGAGTGCAGCACAGAATGTTCAGGACCTCACCCCTGTGAAATGAGTTCTTATTGAGAAGAGCAGGGCAGGGCCAGCAGCAGAAACAGGGGTCAGACCAGGGTCACAAAGCCATTGATTGCTTTGGGTTGGAGAGGCTTCAAAGCCACCAGTGCCACCCCTGCCATGGCAGGGACACCTCCCACTGTCCCAGGCTGCTCCCAGCCCTGCCCAGCCTGGCCTTGGGCACTGCCAGGGATCCAGGGGCAGCCACAGCTGCTCTGGGCACCCTGTGCCAGGGCCTGCCCACCCTCACAGGGAACAATTCCTCATTCCCAATATCCCATCCATCCCTGCCCTCTGGCAGTGGGAGCCATTCCCTGTGTCCTGTCCCTCCATCTCTCGTCCCCAGTCCCTCTGCAGCTCTCCTGGAGCCCCTTCAGGCCCTGGCAGGGGCTCTGAGGTGTCCCTGGAACTTCTCCTCTCCAGGTGAGCACCCCCAGCTCTGCCAGCCTGGCTCCATCCTTGGGGCATCTCCATGGGCTCCCCTGGACTGGCTCCAACAGGCCAACATCTCTCTTGTGTTGGTGGCCCCAGAACTGGGCACAACCCTGCAGTGGGAGCCCCCAGTGACCAGGCCAAGGCAGGAAGCCCAGGGTGATCTCTGGTGATCTCTGAGATCACTCAGGCTGGGCACAACTGAACCAATCTGCACTGGAGAGCAAGGCCAAGTGCCAGGCTCCTGGGGAAAGGGGACACTGGCACTTCCAGAGGCTTCCCTGTGCTAGATGGCTCTGTTATCACAGCTGGCCCCAAGCCCAGGCAGCCCCAGGGACTCAGAGCAGCCACAGGAAAATTCTTCCTTGCTGGCTGCTGTGAGTACTGCGTTAATAGCAGGAGAGCTTCAGCTAGGCAAACATAAAGAAATGGAGCTTTTATTCCTAATTAGACCACTTTTATATGATTTGAGTAAATTTCTATCTTCATTTATCATGATGGTAAAGGCTCATAATGTCTTTATGGGGCAGTAGCATTTCATTTCAAGTGTCCAGTAGTGATGGATTCATTTGGTGTTTGCTGCAGCCATAAACCTTGAGCTGGGGAAATCCTTGAGCTGCTCAACATCCAGGAGAACCATGCTCAAATTTGGGGCCAGAAAATCACCTTGTCTGATCCCCAGCTAGACAATTTATTATCCACAGAACCACACAACTCCCTGTTGTAAAGCTCTTGCTTTTTAAAACAATTTGTTTCTCTGATGGGGAAAATAATAATAATTTGTTTCCCTTTTGGGTATAAACATTCAGAATGTGTTGGTGTGAGTCTTCCTACATGCCAGGATGGGATGAAATGGATTAGGCTGGTACAGAAGACTCTGAAATGTAAATCTGGGACAGCACCAGTGTTGTGTTTGCCTTTTGATGTTTTTTTAGTGTTGATTTTGGTGCTGTTAAAGGTATAGAGACACAACCAGTTGGTCTATTATTATTTAATCATCCAAAGATGGGCAAATTGTGCTGCACAAAGTGAAGAGCAGAAGGGATGCACTGTGGGCTCTGCCCCAGAGGCCTTGCAGTTTTTCAGTGGTAGGTTTATGTGACAAAAGGCAAAGTTATATCAGCAGAAATAGATTAAATGATAATTATTGATAGCTGTGATTTAGCCCAAAGCCAAGAGCCTCATGTGTGAGCTGCACATAAACACAAACCAAACCCAGGCCTCTCTGTAGCTCTGGCAGTGCAGATCCATCCTGGGAACTACAGGTGAGCAGCAGAGCTGCACCTCTGAGCTTCTGCTGGCCTTGGGAGCATTTCCCTGCTTTTCCCATGTTTTTCTCTGGCTGTCCAGGTTGCCATGGTGCTGCTGTTTGAGGCTCTCTTCCAAAACCCCCTGGAGACCCATCACACTCTGAGGCTGCTGCTGCGCTCTGGGCTGGATGTCTGCGGCCTCCGCCTGCTCTACCCCGGCCAGGAGCTGCTGCTGTCCAGCTCAGGTGGGCTCTGCCTCTCCTCCAGAGCTTCTCTGATAACTGCACTAGGTGAAGGGTGATCAGTCAGATTTGCATGAGGGTTGCTTTATCAGTTCCTCTATCTTTCCCAAAAGAAATGATAGAATAGGTTTGATCCATCTTCCCTTCCCTTCCCTTCCCTTCCCTTCCCTTCCCTTTCTTTTTCTCCCGGTGTTGAATATCCATGAGCTGAATTTTTAACTCTTCATACATTTTTGGGTCTCAAACTTTAGCTGTTTAGCTGTTCCTTTGCAGTGAGCTGTCCAACATTTCAGTGCCCTGAGCTCCAGGGATAGGCTCATGTGAGTTAAATAAAATCATTTAGTTCCCCACTGATACTCCTGAAGGTTTTAGCTGCAGAAAATCCAGCCTTCCTTTTCCACAATTCCCCCATCTCATTGCCTGTGGGACTTCAGGAGTACTGATTTATCTGGCCTGTGATTGCATTAACTGATAAAGCATCACCAAAATGCCACATTATTTAATAGAATCCCATCTGAGGTGGGAGACCAGCAGGAGAAGGTAAATAAACACAATCTGAGGCTCTGAACTCAAATCACAAAGTGTTGAACATCACACACCAATGTATCAAATACTGGCATGTACCACTCAAATCTTTATTTTCTCCCATTTGAGAAACAGAGATGATGAAGCTTGCCTGAAAGCATTATGGAACATTATTGGTTGCTGCTGCAGCACAATAATATTCAGATATTCCAGAGCAACAGGTGTGCCCTTAGCTGCAGAGTTTAGAGATTGCTTGTGGCTTGTGCTTCCTTTTAAGGCACAAAGTTCTTCTGGAAGGTTCAGATGTGCCACAGACAATCCATTTCTCCTGGGAAAGGCACAGGCAGGCTGAGAAGGACAGAAATGGGCTCCCTTCTCCTCTGGCAGAAGGGGAATGAAGACCAGCTGAAGCAGAGAAAATTCCCCAGTCTCCTCTCTCCCTTTTTGCATTTGAAAGCAGCAGGAGCAGGCTGCCCTAGGAATGGGATTGCAGTTGCAGCTGTCTGGGTGCTGTGCACAGAACACATTCCTGGTGAGAGCTGGAGAAATGGAGGAGGGCTCCAGAGATGAATAAGAAAACCATAAAACCTGCAGTCATTAGGAGCTGACAGGCAGCAGATCTGCTTCAATGCTCTGTACCATGCACCATTATTTAAGAACATTTCATATGAAGAGACAATTCATTTGAGCTGAGAATTGCTGTGCAAGTTTGTAAATTAGATTTTTAGCCTTAGCTTGATAACTCTAAAATTATTATTTTAAATATTTACAGCCAGTTGCTCCATTATCTACCTGCTCTGGAGATTTGTTTTCTGCCTTCTGATTCTCATGCAAGAAATGATATATTTGTATATGCTTTTAAACCTAAGGGAAGAAAATCACACACCTTGCTGAATTTTCTGACATCTGCAGTAAGAATTGGAAAGGAGGCAAATTTGCTTTTTCTGGGTTACTTCCTTGCCCCCAGTTGCTGGAGAAAGGTTTGCCAGAGTCATAGGGAAGAGCTGTGGAAAGAAATAAGGGAAGTCAGGGTTCAAATCCTGGCAGAAAATTAAAGGTGGCAAATCAAATATTTGCCTGGACCTCAGAGCATTGTACAAAATCTGTATTTAATCCAGAAGGAAATAATGTAAAAAAGAAGTCACCAGATTTCCATTTTGTGATGCCCTTCAAAACCATCCCTTTCCTCAGGCCCCTGTTCTTGTCCTGCACTTCAATCCCCCAGCCTTCCTTGTGGTGATGAACAAGAGGAACTTGAAGTGCTGGCTTAGAGTCACAGTTTGGGCTGAAAAAACCCCTAAAGACCACCAAGTTCCAACCCCTGCCACAGGCAGAGACACTTCCAGTGCATCACCTGTAATAACTTTTCACAGCAAACATGAGGCAAACAATTCCTCTTTCTTCAGGAGATTGCCTTGATTAACCTCAGGTTTGCTATTGGGTAAACACAAGCAGGTGCTGTCAGCATCTCTCCCCCAGGGCAGGTAACCAGGAGATGGATTCCCAAAATAGGTAACCAGGAGATGAATTCTCAGGGCAGATAACCAAGTGATTGATTTCCAGGGCAGGTAACCAGGTGATGGATTCCCAGGGATGTGGTGGTTTGCAGGGGTCCCAGGATGAGGGAAGAGATGAGGATCTGACTCCATGTTTCAGATGGCTTGATTTATTATTTTATGATATATATTATATTAAAACTATGCTAAAATAATAGAAGAAAGGATTTCATCAGAAGGCTTGAAAGGAAAGAAGTGGAATGATAACAAAAGCTCCTGACTCTCAGAGAGTCTGAGCCAGCTGACTGTGATTGGCCATTAATTAGAAACAACCACATGAGACCAATCACAGATGCACCTGTTGCATTCCACAGCAGCAGATAACCATTGTTTACATTTTGTTCTTGAAGCCTCTCAGCTTCTCAGGAGGAAAAATCCTAAGGAAAGGATTTTTCATAAAATGTATCTGTGACACAGGGCAGGTAACCAGGAGATGGATTCCCAGGGCAGGTAACCAGATGGTTCCTCTGTTGAAGTCTGCCTCTGACAGATCTGAAAAGAGCCCTTAAGTGGAGTGAATGACTTTGGGGTGGGTTGTTCCATGTTTTACTTACACAAGTGTTTGTTTCCACAGGAAAGCTGCCTTCCTCCTACACTTCAGAGCCTGGTGAGGTGCCCCCAGTGCTGGCATTAGGTGTGAGAGGCCCCAGAGCCCACGGAATCCTGCAGGACATCACCCGAGGCTGTGGCAGGGCAGAGCCTGTCGTGTCCCTGCCCCTGGCCAGCCGTGTGCACCGGGAGCTGTGCCTGTGGTTCGGAGGGAGAGCTGCTGGAGTCCTGCCCCCGCCTTTCAGGTGATGGCCCAGGGCGGTTTGGAGGTGTTGTTGCACAGGCAGTGAGCCCTGCAGGCAGGCAGGCACTCAGAGATCTCTGTCCAAGGGCCCTGCAGCACGGGGGTGCAGGGGGAGCAATCCCTCCATTTGTGCATTTCCAAGCCAGTTGTGCAGTCTGCAGAAATCCTTCTCTCTTCTGCAGCAGATCATAGAACCATGGAATATCCTGAGTGGGAAGGGTCCCACAGGGATCATCCAGCCCAGCTCCTGGCCCTGCAAAGACCCCCCAACAATCCCACCCTGGGCATCCCTGTCCAAGCACTCCTGGAGCTCTGGCAGCCCCGGGGCTGTGCCCATTCCCTGGGGAGCCTGGGCAGTGCCAGCATCCTCTGGGGATGAACCTTTCCTGATCTCCAACATAAACCTGCCCTGGCACAGCTCCAGCTCCTGTTCTCTCAGCTCCTGGATGTGTCAGGTGTGGGATAGTTGCAGTTGCTTCCCATTCCCCGTTCCCTGGTATCCAGGCCCCTTATTCACACTCTTGCTGCAAGAGTTGGACAGTTGGTGCTGGAGAAGAGCTGCAAGGCTGTGACAGTGAGTGACCCTCTCCTAGGAAACCTCTGGCTTTGCCCTATTTATCAACTGATAAAGGGATTCAGTAGGAAAAGGTCCTTTGGAGGAAGAAGAGTGTGAAAATGAGGGGTGGCTAATAAACCTTGAACTGCATGAGAAACTCTGCTGCAGAAGGCTCAGACCTGCAGCTTCTGAAGAGGTTTTTAGGGATGCTGCCTGTTCTGGGGGCAGGGTGGCACAGTCAGAGGCAGCAGGTGGAGGTGAGATGCTGTGCACTGCTGTCAGTGCTTTCTGTGAGTGGCAAAGCTGAGCTATGTGGAATTAACCTGTGGATTGCTGTGCAGGATTATGTGTCAGAGTTCAGCTCTGCTCTCAGCCACAACCAGTGACTCTCACCATTTTTATGCTTAAGATGTCAAAAAAAAAAAAATCAATTTGGTCGAATTTCATTCTCTTTATTTGTTTATTTTCCTCAGGGATGCATTTTCCTCTTACAAAGATGATAAATTCTGCTCCTCTGGTATAACTCAGTCCGGAGCAGCGTTACCTCCTAAATAATGCACTTGTCTTTCTCCTAATGCTGGTAATTTGGTCTGTTGGGAGACAGGAATACAAACTGCAGCTCAGATTGCCCTTTTCAGATTAGACTTGCAAATGCTCCAGGCTCCTGGGAGTGAGCAAGCAGGATGTGTTCCAGCCAGCTCCGTGCTGGTGGCAGGGGATGAGGCAGGTTTGCCTGAGCAGCCTGAGCTCACAGTCCCAGCCAAAACTGTTCCCAGACAGTCCCTGGCTTTCAAGCACACCTTCTGTTCACCCTGCCCTGATTGGGTCCTTTTGGATGTGCAGGAATGTTGTGGAAGTTTCTCTGGCAGGAACATCCCTGCCAGACTGGATCATGCTTGTTGCCTAACACGAACCCTTCAAACTGGTTAAACTCAGCCTAAAGAACCCAAAGTGAATAGCAACTAGGATGTGTCTGTGGGTGGGAAAAGCTCTGTTAGTGCAGCCTGACATATTTCTTGATTCCCAGATTTCTTTGCCAAGCTGACTACTTTGCATTAGCTACTTTTAATTGAACACAGGGAGCCTCAGGGGGAGTAATATGAAAAGATGTTCAGTCAGAGAGACCTTGATGCAGCTCATGTCACGGACAAGGGATTGAAATGGCTTTTCCAGTAAAGCAGTTTTACCAGAGAAGCTTCTGTGGCCTTGGATTTGTCACAGAAAGTAGGTTTGAGTCAGAACCTTTTAATATTTTTCATTTAATATTTATCATTTTTCTGCAGCTCTCAGAGACCTTCCCCAGCTGGGGCAGGAGCAGATGAAGAAAGAGTTGACCTCCAGGGCTTGATGCTGCCTCGACCTCCAGCCATGCTTGTCTCAACTACCAAAGGTCAGTGCTAGGAAATGAAATTTGAGGGTTTACAGTTCTCCTTCACTGATAACATCACTTTACTCCAGCCCAGCTAAGGCAATTCTGCCTCTGCATTGCTCAGGGCTGTGACCTGGCCAGTTGTGGAGGCAGGAATGAATTTCTAGTGGGACAATGTTGCCTGAAATGAAGCACAGAAGTGGCACCACCTCATCTTCCTCATGGGAGCAGCTGCTGGAGTCCTGGGGGCTGCTTGGATGTCACTGAAGGGGGGGGAAAGAAACAAAAAACACTTCACAGGAAATCTCTGCACAAAGAAACAGTCACATGAAGAGCTAACAGAGTCCTTAAACTGCTGGTCCATTGATCTGAGATCATCTGAATATTATAATCAGAGGAATTAAAAGGTTAAGGCTTTGTTTAGGGCAGGACTGACCACAGTCAGAAAGGAGAGCCTTTTATGGGATTAATATCAATGGGTTATCACCTCACATCCCCATTTTCCCTTTGTAGGAGCAGTGTTCAGCCCCTGAATTTGTACCTAAGCAGCAGCAAACCTAACCAGCAATATCCAGGGGACACTGCCAAGGCCCTGCCTGGCTGAAAGGTGTTGGGCTCCGGCTGGAAAGTCCAACATCCCCTGGAGAGGGCCTGGCACAGCCCATCTGGGGGGCAGGGGGCTTTTGGACAATGCTCCTGGCTGGTTCCTGCTGGCCCAGTTGAAGTGGGAATTTCATTCACAGGAATGAAGGGAGAGCAGAGGGGAGCAGAAGTTCAGCAGCTCTCAGGGAGGAGATGGAAGAAGGAAAGCAGGACTGGAGTGACAGAGAAAGAAGGCATGGGGAATTACATTGCCAAAGAAAAGAATCCACGAGAAAAGGATGGAAGCATAAGGCAAAAAAAGATGAAAAAGGAGTAGAAGAGAAGGAAAATAGAGAAGGGAGAAAGGAAAAAACCAATTTTGAGCCAGTTTTTCATCTTTTGGCTCATGTTAACTCAGGTAGTTTGGCAGGCAGCCCTTGGCTCTGTTATTTGGGATTGGGATTGATGGCAGCTGGTGGCTACTGATGGAATGAGTCACATTTGCTGCCTCCCCTTCCTTTTATGGCCCTTAATGATTCACATTTGCTGTGGGCTGCTGAGTTCCACCACACCACGTTCCATCTGCATGGAGCCTCAGAAGTCACTGTCAAGCTCTGCTCCTCAGATAACTCTGCTCTGGCAAGAGGAGCTGAAACTCTGCTCTGGGAGCAAACACCCTTGGGGTTTTCAGGAAAAGAAACATTCAGTGACTCCTTCCCTCTGGTCTCCAGCAGCTCCTCTTGGAGACAGGAATAATTATCCATGCAGATAATTATCCATGCAGAGCAGAGGTATTGCAGCTAGGCAGACCTGCCCCTTCTCAGTAATCAGAGTTTTGGTGACCCAAGCAGATATTCTTGTTGATTTGGGATATGTGTGTGCAAAAAAATGGTTTTTAAAGTGTTATCAACTGGAGTGGAACCAAAATCTTCCCACCAGCAATCTTAGATTTTGACACCTCCCATATCATGAATATGGTTAAAATCCAGTGTTAAAGCCATAAAGCCAAACAGAGATTTTAGGCAAAGAACCATCCTGCCTGTCCCATCCTTAGTGATAAATACAAGGTTTTGGTGCTGTTGCTTTGAACAACAAAGGCTGAGCCTTGACAGGACAGATATCCAAATCACAAAGTCTAGAATAAAAATAAATATTCACTGTCCTACTCTCAGAATCAACTGGGACACAATGAAAAATGCTCCAATCTCATTAAATCTATTGGTTAAAGCTACAAGAAATTACTGAGGCAGCACAGAGGAAACCCAGGTAGAAGCGGGCTCAGAGCTCACTCTTGGCAGCTTATGGAGATCTGAATATACCTGGTGAGGGATAAAAAAGCTGTGTTAGAACTGAGAAAGTATAGTAATGGAGGTCATGGTAAAAACAGAGAGCTCAGGCAGATCAGAGGCTTCAGGGAAAAGTTTTGAGCTTGTGTCACACTGCTTAAGATGTGGGGGCTGCTCTGGAGGCCTTGGAGGCTCCTCCTGAGCTTGCTCAAGATTGGCTGGGAGTCTGGGATTCAACTTGGAGAACAGGAGTCTAAAAACCCAGAGTTCTAACCCAAGGTGAATTCCAGTTGTGTCTACAATCATTTGTACTGGGATGAGGGACTCAACGAGAGCTCGAGCAGCCAGAGCTGCTGGAAGAGGATCAGGTGGGACAGGGCAGGCTGGTACCATTGCCATGGTGTCCAAGGAACCTGGGAGGCCCCAGAGCCTACCAAACCAAAGGTGAGAGCACAGGTGGTCCAGAGCTTCAGGAGCTTGTGCCACAGTACAGGTGTGGGATGAAGATTAAAGGCAGGAACAAAGGAGGGACAACAGGAAGCAGAAGGGAGTGCTGGGCTGGATTGCTGTGACCAGTAACAGCAGAGAGCAATGAGAGCACAGAGGAGTGGCCAGAGCTGCTTTGTGCTCTTTGGAGTGGACAAATAGAGCAAGAACAAGTAGTTCTTGTTGCCCTTTTTGATCACTCAGAGCGTGGCCAGGCCTGCAAGGCTCAGTCCTGCCCTGAGTGCTGGGGGCTGCCTGGGGACAGCTCCCAGAGCCCAGCCAGCACCAACACCAACACACTGCCTGTGAGCAGCTCCCAGACCTGGGGAGACAGCCTGACTCGTCTCATGATGATTCACAAAGATATTACTGATGATGCCATAAGCTTTCCCACTCTGGGCTGGCCTTGGATTGCAGTCATGATGAGCTGGATGCAGCAAACAAACCATAAAACACTGCTCAGGATGCAGCTGTTTGCTTCAAGGTGGAGGCAGCTGCTCTGAGAGCTGCCTTGCACTGATACCACAGCTCCTGTGACAATAATACGCTGTTTTTCTTGCCCTTTCTTTGATCTAGGGGACATCATTCTGCTGGTGTCACCTGTGGTGCCTCCGTGTGCCTTTGGGGCTGTGCTTTCCGCCTGTGCCCGCCGGGGCTTTGTGCTGCAAGGACTGCGGCAGCTGCAGCTCTCAGCACAGCAGGGCCTCGTGCTGGGCATGGCAGCAGGGCAGGTACTGTGCCCTCTGTGCCCTGCCTCACCCCTTGCCCTGCAGCTGATGGTGCCAGCACTCCTCCAGCGAGTGCTGCAGGACACCCGTTCCCTCTTTCCCAGCTCTCTGTGTTCCTGTGAGTGAGCTCTGGCTGCTTGCAGTGCTGGCTTTTTCCCTAGCAGGAAAGCCCCACAAAGCCTTGGCCTCTCATGGAGAGCAGGAGTGTAAATTCATCCTCCTGCTCCTACTAAAGCAAATGTGAATTTTGCCATTGATGTCAGAATAATCAGGAGCTGGCAGTAGCCCCATGAACCAAATACTGATGTGCAAAGGTGGTTCAGGAGAAGAATCTTCACTATCAGACTGATATTTAGTGATGTGCTTCACAGTCCCTCTGGGCCTTACAGCATGAAGTCCCCTACTTCAGTGCTCAAAAAGAGCTTTCAAAACTAACTTTTTTTTTTTACTTTGAAGCTCTGACTAACATGGTGATAGGTTTGAGGGAAAGTGCACTTGGCATTTTGACAGGTCAGCCTAAGGAAACAGCAATAATCACAAGTGCAAGGTTGCAGTCAAACTTAACATATGCAAGAAGTCCGGTGCTGCCCTTGTTATATTATAAATCCCACAGGAGTTATATGACACCTTCTCTTACTAAGGAATGGACCCCACACTTCAAATCATCATTCTGAGGGTTCTTTGCTATGTCAGTCAGGAAATGCATGTTTGCAAATCAAACTCTACAAATTCCCTCTTTTCTGCTTGTTCTGTGATCAAGCCTAAGGAATAACAATGTCTCTGCCCATAATATTTTGTAGAATGAATAAAACCTATTTATGGAATACTACAGCCCAAATGGCCAGATATTTGGAGCATGTTGCTAAGTGACCATTAAGGAGTTAACAGCAGCAACCACTGCTCCAATGTGAAAATCATCCCTTCATTTGAGACTCCAGATAATCTTAGAGTGACTTATGGTGCATCCACTTATGGTGGATGGTACCACCTATCAGCTGAATTACAACTGCTCTGGTTTTAGCCCAGCCCAGCTGCAGGACAGAATGATTTTGTGTTAAGCCTCTTCCCTGAGTTTAAATTAAGTTTCTCTGTCTCAGGAAAAGATGACGCAGAGCACCCAGATATTGGAGTTCCTATGGCTCAGTGGTGAGCTGGATCTTGTTATGCCATTGTAATTTATCTATTTGCTTGAGCCCTATAGTAATTACATCTGGATTTAGCAGTCTAATCTGCCCTTCATTATTTCAGATTGCTGTCTTTTGCCCTGGCAAGAGCTCAGGCTCACCTGCTGGTGCTGCAGGAGGAGAGGTCCCTGGTGAGCCCCGCAGGCACTGCCTGGTGCTGCTGCTGAGGAGGGAGAATGCCACACATCACATCCCTGCCCTGCTGACAGGTAAAGCCCTGCCCAGCAGCCTGCCAGGGAGGGTTTGCACTGCAGGGGGTTCCACATCAGCAGTGCAACCACAGCTGTGCAGTGCAGGGAATATTTATGGGGAATATCATGGTCATGTTGCTGTAGGAATCTCCAGACCAAGGTGTGAATCAGTCACTACTGCACATCCAACAGAGCTGCCTGGCCTTTGCCAGCTGTTTGATCTTTAGCTCTGGAGTCCTCTTGAACTTAAAATCACCAAGTAGTTCCTGGTGGAAGGAAGGGGCCTCAGAAGGTCTCTGATCCAACATCCTGCTCAGCAGTGCATCAGCAATGAATTCCCTCAGGATGCTCAGGGCTTTTTTTCTGTCAGGTCTTAAAAATCTGCAAGGGCAAAGATTCTCTGTGATGGTGTTCACAGGGATCCAAGGATGAGGGAAAAGACAAGGATCTGACTCCATGTTCCAGAAGGCTTGATTTTTTTATTTTATGATATATATTATATTAAAACTATACTAAAAGAATAGAAGAAAGGATTTCATCAGAAGGCTAGCTAAGAATAGAAAAAGAAGAATGCTAACAAAAGCTTCTGTCTTAGACAGCTGACTGTGATTGACCATTAATCAGAAACAACCACATGAGACCAATCACAGATGCACCTGTTGCATTCCACAGCAGCAGATAACCATTGTTTACATTTTGTTCCTGAGGCCTTTCAGCTTCTTAGGAGGAAAAAATCCTAAGGAAAGGATTTTTCATAAAAGATGTCTGTGACAATTCTCCTGCATCCCCAGACCTTTGTTCCATCATTATGGGAAATGTTTTCCCTTATGTGAGGTTGTAACCTTCTGTTTGGATTTGTGCGCCTTGTCCCTGGACACTTCAGAGCTGGGCCTGACTTTGGCATCTCACACTCAATGCATGGAGGTGTTGTTGGGGCTGTCCTGCTCAGGGCCAGCAGTTGGATTTCAAGGATCCTTGTGGGTCCCTCCCAGCTCTTGCTGGGATTTTATGGCCTCAATCACCTCCTCTCAGAAACTCTTTTTGCCCAGAGAGGTAGGGTGGCCAAAATCCAGCTGTGCCACTGAACCTGAGGGCAGCATCTGATCCTATCAACCTCAGCTTTGAGTCCTGCATCCTTGTGACTTCCAAGCACCCCAAAGTAACTCATTTTCTGTGGAGGAACTGCCAAAACCCAGCCAAGTTGCTGTCTTAAATTTTCTTACTTGAGTTTCTGTTTTCTTAAGGATCAGTTCACATTGACCTCAAGTGGGGAAGATCAGAGGCAACAGCAGTGGTCAGGAGGGAACAGAAATCGTGCCCTGGCTCTTCCCAAGAGGGATCACTGTGCATGACCCTTCCATTAGCACCATCCCACACAGCCCCTGATGGAGACATTCATCCCCAGCCCAATTGCTTCCTTTAATTTATCCACAATAGGAAAGAACATTTAGAGGTTTGGGAAGGGGGGAAACAATGACAATTCAAATAGTCCTGGGCTTTTTCTCTTGAGACTATCACAGAATGTTCTGAAAACATGTGCAGACACAGAGGATTAATCATGGCACAGTAATTATAGCCCCGTGTCACCTGCTGCCTCTGCACCCAGGGAAAGTTGCTCATTAAAAAGTGCAGTTTCTGCAGCTTCCCTCATTGCCACAGATGATGTTTTGTGTTCATGTTTTGCACGGGGAAATTTCCACTAGAAATACATAAAATATTATCCCTCATGCTAGAGAACTCAGGGTTTTTCTCTTTGTTTGTGACAGATTTTGCAAATGTCTCTTTCCATGTGTTCTGTGCTATTTTCATCAGTCCTATACTGCAGAAAGACACCTCAGTCCATATTCCAGAGCCCTGGAGAGGGGAAGCTGAAATTCTTTCCCCACAAGCATTGGATTGGCATCTGGGAAGTGCAGAATTGCACTGAGATTGTAGTAGGTTAAATACCTCACTAAGAAATTCTGCATTTGTAATCAATATGAAAAGCAGTTTCCCCTTCAGGGTCTCGAATGCTGTTCAGTTTTCAAAGCAAGTTAAAACTTAACAAATACTCCTGAAACAGAGCAGATAAATTGGTGGGATCTGTGTCCTGAGGTCCAAACACCACACATTTTTGTCCAGGCTTTACTTTCTGCCATGCCCTGAGTTTGAATAAACAACAGGAAATACTGCTGGGACAGTGGTGACCCATTTTTGGTGCCTCATGCCTTTTGAATTTTGAGGAGCAGGTGATTGTCAGTGGTACATTTGACATCCAAGCTTTGCCATCAGCCTGTAACACAAATAATCCATTTCCCATGCTCCACTACAGTGAATTTTTGACAGGCTTGTATGGTAGGAAGCAATCAAATGTGTACAAAGTAATTTAAAAAATAACAAGCCTTTAAAACTGTGGCCTGAAACATTATTACAGAAGGCTGAACTAATTGTTGTGGAAATGTACTGTATGCAACACCTTAATGCACTGCCTGTGCACAGCCCAGCTCTTTAGAGGGAGAATGGGAGCTGAGAGATTGTGGCTTTAAGCACTTAATGTCTGTAAAAGTGGCGTGGAATGGGATGTTTTCCAGGCTGGAAATCACAGGAGCAGAACATGATGTCTCTGTTCAGGTCTGTCACCCCAGCAATACCTCCCTGCCCACAAGGGCCCTGTGGGATGCAGGACTTTGGCCTCATGCCTGGAAGTGTGAGACACCTTGAGGGCCTCCACATGAGCACTGGGCTCAGATTTGGGACTCTTCCTAGTGGACACCACCTTATTTAAGATATTTATTCAAATTCAGGAGCTCTGTGGCAGCATCTGTGCACTTGTTCCACGTTTCAGTTTCCAGAAGAATTAGAAGGGGATAGAAACAACTGGGTGTGCTGAAAAAGCCAGAGAAAGCTGTGGTCCAGCCTCAGTTTTCTAGAGCTCCTTGCACCTGTTTAAGTGGCCCATGTGATTTTAGGAAGAGGGGATGGTTCAGCTGAGTTTGGTGTCTCAGGTAAGCTCAGTCTGTAGCGGAGCTGTGACCAGTGACTGAAACAGCAGAGTGTTTTCATGTCAGGCTGAGCAGAGCTCAGCATTGCTCACATGTGCTGCTGTTCTGAGCACAGGGCTGATGGAGGAGCTGGCAGAGGCAGGCCCTGGCATTGGGCACAGCCTCCCCCCTGCAGCTGCTGAACAGGAGCCGTCGCTGTGCTTCCATGGGGCTCCGTATGCCGCGGCCACGCTGCTCAGCCTGGGTACGTCAGGGGCTCCAGGGGCACACACTTGGGTTGATCTGGGCTGGGAGGGACCTCAAACCTCATCTGCTTGGTGGCCAAGAAGGCCAATGGCATCCTGGCCTGCATTAGTGTCTCGGTTTGGAAAGACAGGAGTCTGCTAGGGAAAGCAGGAGCCTCCCCTGAAATGGGGAATGTGAACCCTCCCCACCCCTCTGAATTGCTAGAAATTTTAAATTAAGGGGCTCTCAGGCGAAAAATATGGGAGGAGGAAATAACAGTTCTTTAGTAGGGAAGAAAATAAGAAGATAAAATAAACAATGCAGTACACTAGAACAACACTGACAGAGTCAGAAGCCAACCTGACACCCTGTGGGTCAGGGTGTTGGTGGCAGTCCAATTGGAATTGTGGCTGCAGCCCTCCTGCAGTGTCAGGGCTGGTTCTGTTGGAGCAGGATCTTGTAGAAAAGGGTGTAGTCTTCCTGTGAAGATCCAGTGGAAGAAGAGGCAGCTGCTCCTCTGGGAAATCCAGTGGAGAAGCCGTGCAGTTATTCCAGAATCTCCAGATTATATCTGGGTAGCAATGCTTGGCTCCTCCCTCTGGGCTCCCATCTTCCAGTGGGATGGAAGATGTGTAGTTCTGTAGTTCTTATCAGCCATGCAGGGACATTCAATAGCTGTTATCAGCAGATGTCCCCTCCCAAGGGAGGAGTGGTTGTGATCACTCAGAGAGAGATAAGGCAAACTGCCCACTTGACAAAAGACAACTGCCATACAGATGGTAATGGAAAACATCTTGCCTTGCAACCTGGAACAATTAGGAATTGCATGGCCAGCAGGAGCAGGTAGGTCATTCTGCCCATGTACTCAGCGCTGGTGAGGGCACACCTGGAGTGCTGTGTCCAGTTCTGGCCCCTCAGTTTGGGAAGGATGTTGAGATGCTTGAGCACATCCAGAGGGGGCAGTGAGGCTGGTGAGGGGCTGGGAACACAAACCCTGTGAAGAACATTTGAAGGAGCTGGGGCTGTTCAGCCTGGAGAAGAGGAGGCTCAGGGGTGACCTTATTGCTCTCTGCACCTTCCTGAAGAGAGGCTGCACACAGGTGGGGTTGGTCTCTGACAGAACCAGAGGACACAGTCTCCAGCTACCTCAGGGAAGGGACAGGTTGGATATTAGGAAGAAATTTTTCACCAAAATAATAATAAAGCACTGGAATGCTCTTCCCAGGGAGGTGGTAGAATCTCTGTATGTGTTTAAAAAAAGCCTGGACATGGCACTTGGTGCTATAATCTGGTTGAGGTGTGAGGGCATAGGTTGGACTTGATGATCTTAGAGGTCTCTTCCAACCTCATTATTCTGTGATTCTGTGATCTCATTCCACAGCAGGGACACCTGCCACTATCCCAGGTTGCTCCAAGCCCTGTCCAACCTGGCCTTGGACACTTGCAGGGATGGAGCAGCCACACTAACAGGGGATTTTCCTGGATAAAACCATTAGGAATGTGCTGTTTGTCTGTAGGATCTCATTCACTGTTCTGTGTGGTGGTGTTTGAGGGTCCCCAAGACAAGGGAAGAGATGAGAATTTTGACTCCATATTTCAGAAGGCTGATTTATTATTTTATTATATATATTATGTTAAAAATACTATCCTAAAACTATACTAAAGAAAGAGAGAGGAGACATCAGAAGGCTAGAAAAGAATGATAATAAAATCTTGTGACTGCTCACAGCCTCAACACAGCTGGACCTGTGATTGGTCATCAAGTAAAAACAATTCACATGAGACCAATCAAAGATGCACCTGTTGTTAAACCATCTCCAGACCACATTCCACAGCCGTCAGATAATTGTTGTTTACATTTCCTTTCTGAAGCCTCTCAACTTCTCAGGAGAAAAATCCTAGCAAAAGGATTTTCATAAAATGTCAGTGACAGTTCTGCTGCCAGTCAATCACAGTAACTCTTATGGAAGAATCAATGGAAATCAAAGTGAAAATACCTTTATAAAATAAGTTAAAAGATACATGCAAAAAGAAATTATTGAAACATGACACAGTAACATCCAATTAAGCCTTAATTAAGATAATTAGAAGGTTAATAGCCAATCAATACGTATTTCTTGCCATAGTTTCAAGAGAAGTCAAAATATTAAAATGAGATAAATTGTTGGTTGTGTGTAGAACTGGAATGTGCTGAAGTGATAAATGCTGGCAGCTGTAGTTCTGTAGGTGCAGGAAAGGCACTTTCCAATTTCATTTTACTCAGATATTCTAAATTTCAGTTTGTACAGTTGTATTCACTTTGGTAACCCATTCATTCAAAGCTGGGAGATTGATAGGATTTCAAACAGCAAGGAAATGGGTTTTCTGTTCTTAATCTATGACTCACATGGGTGAGTCTTAAACCTCCTAGTTCTGTACACTTGGAGTAAAAAAGATTCCCATGTTTATTTCACTAACTACATGTTGGGGGTTTTTATGTGTTCAGCAAGTTAACTTAGTTTATTTAATTTAATTATTTGAAAATTTGAATGCCAGGACTTTGAATTAAAACATATTGCTCTCCAAAACCAAAGTGACTCTAAATCCTAAGGAAAAATGAAAATTAAATGCATGTCATTCACAATTCTCTAGCATTGTGAAATGTTATGATGTGGGAATAAGTAAGTAAATAAATGTTTATTGCTTACATAATCATGTCGTGAATCAGTATGGAACAAACAGGGATTTCTGATGGGCCAGGGATTCTCCAGGCTGTGCTGTTCCCAACAGGACTGTGCATAGAAGCACAGAGTTACAGCAGTCCCCAAATTAGCTCCCACTTGTGTGCCCTGCAATGTCCTAGAAAGCAAAATGAAGTATTGATTTAATGTGAAGTCAGTCATTAGTTATCAACCCAAAACTGGTGCCTTAAATAATTTTAGTATAGATCTATCAGCTCTGCCTAATGGTGTGAATAAGGATATCAAAATTACAAGGAATGTATTTGCTTTACACGGCAAAATGCAATTCCAGGGAAGGACTGGGACTAATTAGAGGGGCTTTGCTGTGTTAATATTCCTCCTTCAGGAGATTTTCCTGAGCTGCAGTGTGAGGAGGCAGTGAAACGCTGGTTGGGATTTATACAGTTCCTTCACAGCAGAAAGCCTGAGCTGTGTTTTCATGGGGTAACAGTTTTGTTTTGATGCTCTCCCTGGGCAGGAGGAAACCTCAGCGTGGTGCCAGAGCCCCATCCCATCCCTCTGGATTTCCTGAGCCACCGAGCTTTCGCTGCTGAGCCCGGCATGGAGCAGGTGGTGATGCTGACACTGGTGGGGATGAAGGCTCTGAAGAGTGCTGGGGAGCTCCTCCAGCAGATCCTGCTGCCCCCCATCAGGGATCAGCCTCAGAGTGCAGGTAACCCAGCTCTGGAGACCTTGGGCTACCCTGAGTAGCTCTTTTTAGCACGGCAGGAACATCATGGAAAATGTGGCGCAGGGGCCTGAGAAAGAGTGGGTTTCTTTGTTACCCCACTAGAGAGCTGAAGAATTTCTCTTGGTTTGTTATGGGCAATCACAAACAGCTCAGGTGGGCATAATTTGCTTCAGAGAGCATCAAATGAGTTCCAAGTAGTGCTTGGGCTTGCAGAGCTTTTATGTAACACAGAGCACTGTGTCCCTCCCTGAGCAGGGGGAGGTAAGGCTGGGCTGGAAGTGGGGCAGGAATTTGGCAGTGCCAGCTCTGTTCTGTGACTGCAGTGACAGCCCTGGTGAGCAGAACCAAGGCTCCTCACGCTCTGGTTCACCCAAGGGAGGAGCACAAGGCTGTCCCCACACTGCTGCTCACATGTGCATGAAAAGGGCTGTCAGGCCCTAGGCAGGACAGGGATTTATGTAATTTCATGTGCAGGTTGCACTGAAGTGTGATAACACAGGAGCTGTAGGCACAAAGGGCTCGAGTCTGCCTGTCTTACACTGTGTTGCATCTGGCTCTCCCAAAACTGAGTTGAAATACTGCTTAAAATCCTGTGAAGTTCTGTATCTGAGATCTGAGCCAACAGAAACTTCCAGCACTCGTGGATTGAACCCTAAATACCTTCCTACATAGTCAGAAGACAACTTTACAACCCCAACAACATTGAAACCACTTTAGAGACAAGTCAGCATTCTGCTGTAGTTTGTTATTCTGCTAAACATTGCTTAAAGTGTTATGAGAGGTGCTAAAGGATCCATAATTATGGATTATGCTGTGCCAAGCCACATTGTTATCAGTGTACTCTCAGCGATTCCCTTTCCACTCTCCTCCATTAGCTGTGCTCTCTAATCAAATCATGGCACTTGCTCCCTGTGGCTCCCTGTTGATTTCCCAGATAGCCATTTTTTTGTTCTCCACTGTAATGGCATTTCTTAGAACTTGCATCTCATGGGTTTTCCCAGTATATTCCTGTGTTTGCATTACAGTCCATTCTGGATGAAACAGAAGTCAGAACAGCATAGGAACTTGTGCAGGGAAAAAACCCACGTGAAATAAAATGTTTGTGTCCAAAAGAAAGCACGACTTCTATGAAACACAAGCTGCTGCCTGGTGCTAAAACCATTTTTCTTGATTCAGGACTCGAGTTGCTGGGCCTGAAGTGGCTGCCCCACCTGACTGGGTGCCAGGCCAGGGAGGTGACCCCTTTTGAGGCTGGGGACACTCACTGGCAGAGCAGCCTGGGCACGCTGACGTCCAGCCCTGTCCTGGTGTGCGCGCTCCGCGGCATCGACGCCTTCCTGGCCCTGGGAGCTGCCCTGCAGGGATGGACACAGAGCGGGGACAGGCTCTGCACAGGGGACAGCCTCCCACAGGCACTCATGGCCCTGACACCAGAGGTGACCTTCAGACAAGCCATCCTCTTCTTCACAGAGGCAGATTTGGTCACTGGTAAGGCACGGTTTTAGTGTGTGTGTTCTCCTCAGCTGTAGGGGGTGTGGGAGTTGATTCACCTTAGACAAAGGAATTCAGTGCTGGGGTCTTTTTCAGGCACAGGAGAATGTAATAATGTGGGGGTAAATTCTGTGCTTGGCTGAATTATGATGAGGCAATGAACCCAGCAGGAGCCAGCTGAGGTCACCTGCAAGTTGGCTTTTTTAATTAATGTGGTTGTGCTTGGCCTGGTGCCCTTTCTGATGATCTTGAGGTACTCCATAAGTACTAATTACATACCAGAGCAATTGGCAGGATCAGTAAATAATACCATGCATTTTAAACCCTTTCTGTAAGAGAACCTGAAGAACAGAGCCCAAGAGCTCTCACACCTAAATGTGGGCCCCTAATTGTGGTGCCAGACTTGCAGCTTGATGCCTCAGCCTTGCCCTGTGCTCAAGGAGATTGAAGGTGTGACCAGTCTGTAAGAAAACAGATTTCTTGAGATTTCTTTTTATCCTGGAGGAGAATGAAGAGAGGAATGGAGACCTTTGCTGTCAAAAGCTTCTCAGGGTTCAGTGATGTGTGCCAGCATCGATCTTTCAGCACAGTAAATTTGATAGTTTCCTCCTGTAGCAAGAAATGTATAGCCATGCCTCTTAAAACTAAATCACTGTGCAGACTGTGGGGTTATTGATACTGGATGGTTTAGAGCAGCAGAATACAAGCTCCCACTGTTTTATTTTAATGTGAAATATTCAGAGAAGAATTGGGGCTGCCTGACTCCTCTCACCCAGAGAGAAACAGTTCTGAGCCCTGACAGTTTCTGGCAGGGAGCTGGAACAAGATGGTCCCTTCCAACCCAAGCCATTGTGGGATTTTATGATTACTCAGAGGCAGAGAGAAATCAAAGATTGTGGTAACACCATGTATCAGCTGAAGGGGAGTGATGCAGTCCCATAAGTGCATTCGTGCTTTGAATTTACAGCCCTTCCTTTATCTTTCCTTGAGGAAGAAAAGTCCTTTGTCATCAACACAAACTTAGCCACTTGTGTCAAACCCACCGTGCCTGTGTAGTGTGCAATAACAAATTTGCTTTGCTGAATGCCATGAAGAAAGATTTGTCTGGGAAAAGATCCTGGGTTTAGGCTCTCACAGCAAGTTTGATTTGTCAGTGAACTATGGGGGTGTCCTCTGTGAGACTGGGGAGCAAGAAGAGGAGCCTTCAGAAGAGAAGGCATCAGACATCCCCAAGTGGTGCCTAAAACTCTAAAGAGTTCATGCACTGCAGCCCTTAATTAAAGTTATCTTGAGATGGAAAGGCAGGATAAGAGGAAAGCAGAGCTGTGAGCTCAGTTTATTGAGGGAGGTTGTAATGGCACTGCCAGCCTTTTGCACCAAAGCCACTGTGAGGAACAAAAGAACACAGCATCCGGCACTGTCTCTTTAATAAGGTAATTTCATTTTTTCCTTGTGTTTTTATTGTTGTGAGAGAAATGGAGAGACCTCCCTGCTCAAGAACAATATTTTGTACCAGGTTGAACATCTGCCCTGCTAAATAAAATTACTTTTGCCACCCTCCTGCCCCAGACATGGAAGTTTCCCGTCTTGAATCCATAAAAATACCAGACCTTCCTTCTCCAGATGCAGAGCACCGCCCTGCTGGGAAATTCCTGCCACCACCTGGCAGGAGCTCCAGGACTGAAGGGAAGACCACAGGTAAGCACCAGCTGCCTCTTGAAAAAAAACCACCAAATTATTTTAGACTCTTAAATAGTTTGAAGAAAGCTCTGTGCCCTCTGTCAGAGGCATTGACATGGGATTAGTAAACATCCTAACATTTGGTTAGACATCCTCATGCCAGGCAGCTGGGGAGGAAAGGCCAGCTGGGTCCCCTGGTGCTGGGGGAAGGTGTGAGAATTGTCACATTTCCTCTCCACAGTCCTGAGAGCCCCCTGCTGAGGAATGGTGTGCAAAGTCAGCTGGAAAAGTAATTAATGTCAGCTCTTTAGCAGCCTTTTTCAGGTGTAGATCCCAGAAATTATGATTTTCATGATGTTTTGGAGAGGTGAAATCAGAGCAGAAGGTGCATTTCCTATGTCTCTGTCATTTACATCCCAGTGCTGCCCAGGTCACCATGGGATTCACAGATCCTGAAATTCCTTTCTGGTAACCCCAGCACTAAGGAAAAAAAACTGCTGCTGGGAGGATGAGCTAAAAGTTATGAGACAAGGCAAGGACCTCAGGGCTGGTTCCACCTGTTATTTGTGCTCTTGTTATTGCAACAAACATGTGGAAAAAGAGGGCTCATTAGGAAAAAAAAAACCTAAAACAACTCTTTGGCTAAATACCTTCCAGATACATAACTATGGAAAACAGATAGAAATGGATTTTGGACATTAATAAAAAAAAAAAAAAACGGTAATTCTGTTTTGACAAACAGATTTTAGTTTTTTCTTATCTACCTTGCATGTTACAGTAGCTAAACTTGCCAGCCACTGGAAAATGAAGTCTTCTATCAGTCTGATGCAGGATTCCCCTCACTGTGCCCTAGATCTTGATAACTTCTCAATTCTCATGTGCCTGAAGTGCCTTGATTGTGCTCATCTCCAGCTCACTGCAGGTTTTACATTAGACTGAAGGCAACATTTCTCTATTGGCTTTTGTCCTAAGTTCTGATTCCCCAGGCTCCTTTCATCCTGCTCTGCTCTCCTGGAGAGCCACTGGCGCAACCACTCCTGGCTGCCTGGGGAAGGGCCAGGGAGGTTTTATCAGCAGCACTCGGGATCCACAGCACCCCCTTGTTTCTGAGAGAACATCAAACAAAACTCCAGAAACAGGGCAGCATCTGAGCTGACTGTGGAGTATCAGGAACACAGATAGGTTTAAAACCACTGTTAACCACTCCCTGAAATCCCAGAAAAGGTAACCAAGATCCAACATGATTTAGTGTCACTGTCATATTTTCTGATAAATCCCTTTGCCAGGATTTCTTCTCCTGGGAAGCTGAGAAGGCTCAGAGAAAAATGAAAACAATAATTATCTGTTTGCTTCTCCTGTGTTTGCTGCTTTGGAATGTGATTTGGCCATTGTTTACCAGCTGGTCATTGTTTGATTGGTTTAATGTGAATTGTTTTTACTTAATGACCAATCACCATCAGCTGTGTTGGACTCTGAGGAGTCAGTCATGAGTTTTTCATTGTCATTCTTGTCCGTATCCTTTCTCTTTCTTTAGTATAGCATTCTTTTATCTACTATATATATCATAAAATAATAAATCAGCCTTCTGAGAACATGGAGTCAGATTCCTCATCTCTCACCTCATCCTGGGGACCCCTGCAAACTCAGCAATTTAGGACCTGCAGCCCTGCTCAGCCTGTGCTCCTGGGGTTACCAGAGAAGGGGGGAATGTGACCCCTCCCAGGGTGTCCCAGGACATCTGAAATCAATCCATCCATGTCCCAGGGTAACACCCTCAAATATCAATATCAGTGTGCAATATTGGCTGCTTTGTGTAGAGATGATAGCACAATTCTCAGATTGTCTCAGAACTCACCAAACTCACTGAAATCTGCTTCTGTCCTGCAGTGGGTGAGAGCTGGAGGTGCCGAGCAGAATCCCTGTTCTCCTTCCTGCAAGCAGGTGAGAGAAGAGCAAATGGAAAAATGTCTTTTGACAAGGACTTGGTGGAGCTAAATAATCTGAATGTACCAGCCCAAAATAAGCAAAAAAAGGGTTATACCAACATTTTCCTTAGGCTGGAATCCAGCCTGATGCACTCTGAGCATGCCAGATGTGGTATCTGCTTGTCTTGAGTTCCCACTTGAAGTCATACCTATCTGAACTATTATCTATAAATAGCATATAAACTAAACTCTATTTTCAGTTAGGCTATGAAATCAAAACCTATGTAATAATTTTTTGGGGGAGGCAAAAGGAAAGGATTGTGAAGAATGGATCTAAAAATATTACAAAGAAGAGAAACGTAATAAAGACCAGGAAAGGCTCTGAGCAGCCAGAACTGGAAATCAGGCAGGTTTGAACGTTGCCAAACAGGTCCCTCTGCTCATTCATGATCAGCAAAGATTGTTCCATTGGTAATTAGTGGTATTTTCTCTAGTTCTTGTTAATTGCTGAGGAGAGAAAGCCAGCTCTGGGTGACAAGGTGTCTGACCAAACCAAGCGTGCAATCCTCCTGAAGTGTCTAAAATCCCTAAATATGCAGCAGGTAGTGACTCACACAACAGAAGAATGAGAATATCTGCTCAAAAACGTAGCAGATGGTGAGGAAAACATCTGGAGGCCACTGAGTGCTTACATAACACACAGGGGTGAGGTTGCTGAGGTGGAGCCCAGCAGCTCCCTGCACTTCCAGGCTGTTGCTATGGAACCTTTCTGCTCAGGAATGATGTGAGGAAACAGCACATCTGTAACAGGAGGGCTCCCTGCAGTACAAGGGTTAAGTTTCCATATCAAGTGGGGAGGAAATAATCTTGGATTTTATTTTTGATCCTGTGTTTCTGTGCCATGTCCTGCTTGTCACCTGGAAATAACAGCATTAAATTCGAGGTAGCCTTGTTGATGCTTTGCTGCATTGACATCTGTGTAATTAGTACTGGGGTGTACAGAAACAGAAAATGACATGTTTTGTACCCAAACAGATCAGCTTGGATCAGTCTCAGCAGCCTGGAGGATGTTCCCCTGTGCTCCTGCTGATTGATGTGGTTCAGCACCAGCAGTTCCTGGGCCTCACAGACTGGTTCTGACACTGCACTTGCCAATAAATCTCCAGAAAGATGTTATAAGGATAAAATATTAACTATACTCTTGGTAGCAAGTACTTTAGCAAGACTAAAAATTTGAAAATGCTGTCATTTAAAAACGGAATTTATGTATTTTCTGCCTTTAAATCCATTTTCATCAGACAGCAAAGCTTCCTTGGTCTGGTTTGTTTTCTGCTCCTTATAGTGCTGCACCTTCCTGGCAGCTCTGCTGGGAGAGCTGTGTCAGAAGCAAAAGGTTTTTTACTGGAATGTCAATTTTTGGTAAAGACAATTCAATTAATTATTGGTTTATGACATTAATTGGGACCTGTCAGGGTTGTCAGTGCTTCTCTGAAACAGAGCTCTAAGATACACAGAACACCAGAGTAAGAATGTAAGAGCTGCTCAAGGATCACATCACATAATCACCACGGTTCACATGAAAAATGCAAAAGGGAATATTTTATCTCTCTTAAAACATTAATCTGTAATATAAAGGTTTGAATCTTATCCGACAGAGCTGCCACAAGAATTTTTAGGACCTGGAACAGATTTCCTTGACGGAGAAACCTCCAAGCTTGGACTGTTTCAGATACATTTTTAATCTGAGAACCCAACAAAGCAAACCCAAATCAATACATGATCCTCTATGCCCAGGCTTTTTATGGACTCATTTTTTGATATTTTTGTGAACTTCCTGCCGGGTTTCCCCATGCCGAGGGCAGCAAACAAACCCCTCTGTGTTTGTTGCAGGGGCACAGCTTCTGTGCACGGTGCTGCTGATCAAACCCGGGGTGTGGAGCCAGGGGCTGCCCAGGATCCTGTGGGATCTGCACCTGGAGAAATTCTGCGTGGTCGGGATGAAGCACCTGGAGCTGGGAGTGGCTGCTGCTGCCTCTCTGCTGCCCTGGGAGCTGCAGCAGGTCAGTGAAGGGAATGGCACCTCTGCGTGGGGAGGAAAGGGATGAGCTGGGGATAAGCCATTCCTGAAAAGCCCAGCAGTTCCCACCCGGGATTTCAGAGCTCTATGGAATGTTCTAAATGAGAAGCTTGACTAGGCCAATATTCAAGCAGCAATCAATTTATTAATTTATATGGTAAAGTATGAGCAATACAACGCTGGAAGTTTTCCCTCCAACTGCACACCCATAGTTGAGGCTTACATGTGTTTATAGGGGTACTCATCAGTTTTCTCAGAAGTTTCTATTCCAAATTTTTACTCATCAGCACTTTCTAGTCCCAATTTTTACATCACAATTCTATACACTATTGTGATTTAGTTTTTTGTCAGGATGTATCCCAAAAGGAGTATCCCCAGATGGTGGTGGTCCAGTTTCTAAAAGAAGGAAGAAGCATCCCATCTGGTGGGGTCCAGCTCTCCAGATGTGGGTCCACCTTTTGATTGCAAGGACTATAAATCTATAAATCTCATAACAGTGATGTCCAGCTTCCCTTGGTCTAAACTATTAATCCTTGAGTTGATGTTCATCTTCCTTTCTCAAGCTGCTTTTCACTGTTTTGTTAAGGTGTGAGATAAGCATGTTTCCTTTTTATATATTCTAAAGTTATAGTTTCAAAGATCCTTACTACAAGCCATATTCTAAAATTATACTTCAAAAGGTTATTACTGCAAAACTCTTTAAGGCTTAACTACAAGCAGAAAGTTCCTGTCAAAAAGCAACATCTTTAACACTTTAATTCAAATGTTCCTAAATAAATTTAAGACTTATAAAGGTTAATTGTGAACAAAAGATAGGTTCAAAGGCCTTCTTCCATGCTTTACTTTCTTTAGTAATTATTAGAATTCATCTTTATAACTGTCCCATGGTCGTTTTCCACACATATTACAATCACAAATACACACATTGCCTGTATGTACCTGACACCAAACACAGCTTTGTATTTCACATGAAACAATCAGATCAGCACCTCACCAGCACAGAGAGAGCGGAGGGCTTTTATCACAGCCATAAAGACAGCCCTGGTTTCTCCCAAACGAAACTTTGGGGAGGATGTGGGCAGTACAGAGCTCTCAGGAGTCTGTTCAGCCCTGCCAAACAGGTGTCCTGAATGAGGGATGCAGGACTCCAGGCAGCTCTCCAAAATGCAGTTTATTCCATCCAAGAGGTTACAGCAGTCCAGAGTCATGGGTGACAGAGCTGTGCCCACAGCTGTCAGCTCCAGCTGCAGGCAGGCCTGGAGACCCTTTGGTATTGGTTACAGTGCATTATAGACTTTTCTTTTGGGTACAATGCATTATTTACTTCTCTTTGTTGAGTTCTTAATACAGTAGAACCAATCTATACCTTAACTTTTATCTGTAGCCTATCATAACTCCTATAATTACCATATTCATGTTACTGTTCTGCAATCACTAACAGTTAGTACATTACAGTTTAAGCTAGAAGTTGTTTTTCAGTTTTCTTGCAGTGAAAAATTCTGAGACCTTTTTTCTACTTGCAACATTTGCTGACTTGTTTACCTGTGCTATCTTTCTGCTTGGTAGAAACATCTTGTTTGGGGTGGGTTTATCCTGTGCTCTAAGCCATGAAAACTCCTTCTAACTAACACACCCTTTGCCTCCTTGGTTATCCAGTAATTATTTTCTTCTATATCAAAACTTGCTTCCATCTCTATTCCTTCTTCAGATTTTACATTCAAAAATCTTTCTGCTAAGCACACACATATCAGTGAGACTTGAGACTTTCTTGTCCAACTTTCATCCTTCCCAACACTCTGTTCCTTGCCCCAGGTCATTCTAGGTAGGGCACATCCAGGGAACACGTGTGCCTGGCTTTATTCCATGTGGTTAAAGCTGGGACAGCCTCCTGCCTGCCAGGGACTGCACATCTCTGGGGTGCTGTTACCTGAGATTGCATTGCAGGCACAGCTGAACCCTGGGAGCCAGACTGTAAAAATCCCCTGCAAGGAGAGGAAATTGTCCTTGCTCATGTCTAACAGGCAATAAAGAGGGTTTTTAAATCTTAGGGCATTGTGGGGTTGATTAGCTAGAAATAGATGTTTGTTTCTGCTCTTTCATGGCATTAAAAACCTTTTCTTTCCTCAACATGACGTACCCTGAGTGTAAGGATACTGTGACAGCCAAGGAACTGAACTCTGGGCATTTGAGAGGAGTTGGATTATTATTTTTTTACTTCTCTTAGGGAAAAACAATCTGTGTTATTTGATTGCTTTCCTGAAGACCTTTAACTGCTTGGCTTTATAAAAAACAAACATTTATAATTGATATTGCACTTGGGTTAAGTTTGGAAAGTTTATAAAATTGTCTCATAGAAATTCTTGGTAGATGCTTCCAGAAGAAAACAGGCACATGCCAAGGCAGTGCTCTGGAACAATTAATACCTTCTGCATGGTAACAGTGAGCACAGACATCTGAATTTGAAATATTTACACTGAAAAGAGAGATATAATGGCCATTAGGGTTGATGGGCATGTGCTTCACAATGTTACTTAATCACACAGCTAAAGACAAAATGCCTTTTTGATCATCTGAAACAGAAAACATCTTAAAAACCTCAAATATCCTCAGGAAGCAATGCAGATGCCTGAGGGGTAAATGTGAGGAGAGGTTGTTTCCTGAAAATTTCCTTGTTTTTGGATTTCTCCAACACACCAGAGCAGCTGTTGAGCATTGATTCAGTTGCCTTGAAAAGCTGGTGACTAATGAGGATAAAAATTACAGACTGTTCATGAGGAAAAAAGCAGGGTTTGAGAGTGAGGAAGCAGAGAGAGAACAGTCTGCCTCTGCTGAAGGGGAGCAGACAGTGGGAAATGCTTTCTGCTGTCCAGGGGCCCCTGCTCCTTTTCAGAGCAGCAGGAATGGCTCACCCTGGGGAGGGCTGGGAAAGGCTCAGCTCCCAGGATAAGTAGGGAGATTTGGAAAAAGCCTCAGCAGGCTCCAGAGACTGGGTTATTTGCAAAATCCAGTGGGTAAGTGGCTCAATGGCAGCCATGGGGGCAGGGCTGTTTGTTCCAGCTAAATTCCATGAGCAGCTTTTGGATGGGAGGAATGTTCATGATGGATCTGCTCCTCAGCCTGTGGCACAAAGGGGTGCAATGGTGGGCCTCAAATGAGGCTCCTGAAATGGGGGCAAACTGCTGACATTTAGCAGGGCACAGAATCCCAGACAGGATAATCCTGGGTTTGGGAGTGAGCTCTGGAGATCACCCAGTCCCACCAGGGCAGGATCCCTGTATCCACAGGGGTATATCCAGTGGTTTGGGATGTCTCCAGAGGGGGAGACTCCAAGCCCTCCTTGGGTGACTGTTCCACAGCTCTGCCATCCTCCATGGAAGGAAATTCTGTCAGGCTCTCTCGCTGCTCAGAGTGACCCCGAGAAGAGTTAGAAAGTCTCTTTTCCCAGCCTGGCACTTGAAGAAGGAGTCAGAGCTCTTCATTTCTTGGTCTCAAAGTTGTTTATTGTATATTATCTATAAAATTCTTTCTCCTGTCCAGCTGAGGTCCATCCAGCAGGACAGTTCCAGGCACTCTGCCTGCCCCTGGGGCAGTGTTATGTCTTTATACTAAAACTACATATACAATATTTACAATTACTTCCCAATACCTGTCACCTATGTTAGACAGTGAGCTTCTACTCTAAACCAATCTGTAAGTGCCAACATCACAGCAGGAGATGGAGGCCAAGAAGAAGGAGAAGGAGAAGGAGAAGGAGAAGGAGAAAGGCTGGACATGCCCAGTTCCCCCCATCTTGCCCCCCTGAACCCCCATACCAAAACCCCAAAATCTACTTTTTCACCCCGTGATAACTTCACTATTATTCTTCCTAAACTGTTGTGGCTTGCTGGTCTTCATACAAGGTTGGTAATTTGCTCCACGGGTCATAATCGAAACCACAGGGGCATTTTGGGCTCGGTGCCAGGGTCTCTGAGCCCCCTGGCAGGGTCCTGCCTGTCCTGGACAGCCAGAGGGATGTTCTGGGTCCTGACAAAGTTCTTCCTCAGGTGGAGGTGGAATTTCTTCTGTTTTAATTTCTGGCTATTACTGCTCATCCTGTCCCTGGGCACTGCTGGAGAGAGCCTGGCACTATCCCCTGACACCCCTGGAGATATTTCTATGGACTGATGAGATGATGAAATATCCTGCTGAAGAAGATGGAGCCAGTGTGTCTGTCCCTGCTAGAAGTTCTGTCCAGGGCTTGTTCTCACTTCACCTGGAATATGCTCCAAAATCCATCTCTAGAGAGCCCCAAGTGCTGGTTTGTTGTGTTTTGAGAGCAAATCTGGGTTTATTCACTGCAAGCAAGACAACCTCACATCTCCTTTTCCTTTCTAATGTATTATTTACATACACTTGACAAATAACTTTGGCAGCACCAGCTCAGCTCTGTGATTGCTTTTCCAGCTGAAATAGTCCCCCTGAGCTCAGAGAGGCATGTGGCCTTTGGAGCATGAGAAAAAACACCTGCTCTGCTCTTTGCTGAGGTTATCAAGTCACAGGAGCCACAACAAGATGTTTTATCTGCACTTTAGTAATGATTATAGAAAATAAAGGTCATGTAAATAGAGCTGACATTGTCTCCTCAGCTTCCAGCCTGACCTGGTGGTGCTCAGGCAGCAAGGAGAGCCTGTCCAGGGGGTTCTGCTGGATCTGCCTCCCTTCAGGGCCCATCCAGTGATCCCAAGGGGTTCTGCTGGATCTGCCTCCCTTCAGGGCTCGTCCAACCTCTGCAGATTGGAAGTTTAGGCTTTATTTTTCCACTGGGGCCTGATCGTGCAGTGGGGGATTGTTGCTGTTGTATTGAGGACAGGTGAATAAAGCAATATACAGACTCCAAGTCTCAGAAGGCAAATGTCCAGTTTATTGCACACCACATTATTTTTTTTAGACATTTAGGATGTAGCTGGACCTGACTGGTCCTCATCAACACCTCTCACACCATTGGCTAATTACCAACAGCACCTTCTTGTAAACATCTTACAAGAAACAGCACGTTCAAAACACCAGCTGCAAAGATTAAGGATTATTTTAATTCTTTCTCTGAGCTTTCTCAAGCTCCCCCAGCACAAGGCTTGGGAAAATTTATCTGACTTTCTCTCTCTGAGCAGACTTCAGCAACCACAGGGGATTCCCTGCAGCAGCAGGGACTGGGCTCAGGAATTCCAGGTGCCCTCCAGCCCCATCCTGTGCTTCCAGAGCAGGATTCAGGAACTCCACGGTTCCCTCTTGCTTCTCCTCAGCAGGACTCAGAACTCCAGGGTTCCCTCCAGCCCCATCCTGCTCCTCCTGAGCAGGATTCAGGAACTCCAGGGTTCCCTCCATCCCCATCCTGTGCTTCCAGCAGTAAATGCAGCTGGGTAATTCCTCTGCTCTTTCGTCCTCTCAGTCCCCCTGGGCCAGGGCACAGCTGGAGCTTCCTCCTCTCTATGAAACTGCTCCTTGAATTGCAGGCAGCTGCTCAGGGATGTGGAGCAGGATGGGGATGGAGAAAGGGCAGCACCGTGTTTTGAGAGCAATTTGGCAGAGTCTGGAGTGGTGTGAGCAGTGAGAGGAGCTGCCAGAAGCTCCCTGGCACCGTCAGTGACCATTAGAAACAACATCATCTTCAACCACAAGCCTGTGGATTTCCTGGGGAGCAACCAAAAGACAAAAGAGTTTTGTTATTTAGATCTAAAATCACTGGTTAGAAGCTCTGGAACAAAATAGTTTCATTTATTCTGGTCTGTTTGACAGAAACTGAATGTTTTCTTTGCAGCTGTTTCCAACCTGGATGAATATTGATATGTTTTATCAGTCCTTTTGAAAGCTGTCATAAAAAATACCACTGGCTTTTCATTGCCCAAAGAGAAAACCCATAGAAAAGTGGATTAAATCCATTTTTTTTAACTAACAAAAATTTTCAAGCAGGAAGGGATTATTTTGTATTATACAGAACTGAATGAATGTCACCATTTCTCAGTGACAAGCTGAAATTTTTCATCCTCATACAAGCAGAGCTGCTGTCACCAAAAACCCCTGAGTGACAGCTGTGACCCTGTGCCCAGGGGGCAGAGCACTGACAAACACCACACCCAGCCCTAAATACATCACCAATTTAAGCACAGAGGGATTTGCTCATGAAATATTTTGCAAATGGAGGGGGGAATATCAGGCTTGAGCCCGTGGTTGTCAATTCATAACCTACTTCTCAGAGCTGCAATTTAGGAGCAGAGAGTGAGAGAAGATTTGGGTCAAAGGCACTGAATGGTTTCACGTGATAGAAAAGCAGAGAGGCCTTGAAGTGTTTTATCTCCATATTTTTAAATGAAGTGATAGGATTTGCTTTTGCAAATGTTTTATCTAGAGAATTGCTATCCTCTGCTGCTTTTAGAAGATTAAAAAATAGAGGAATTAAAACCTCTGGGAATGACGTGATTCAGCTGAATCAAATGGTGGTTTTTTCCTCTCCTCTTGTTTTTATTTCCTCAAAAACTGGGGGGGGGAAAAAAAATAAACAGCCACGGGTTGATTCTGGCAGAGAGCTGGAAATGCCCTTGTTTTCTAAACTGGAGAGAACATCCAGCCCTGGCTGCTGCTCTGTGGGGTGCAGGGAGGCACAGCTGGGTGTTCCTGCCACCTTGTTTGGATGGAGGAGCAGGAGGAGGCACAGCTGGTGTTCCTGCCCTGTTATTCAGCTGGAAGGGCAGGAAGAGGCAGAACTGGATGTTCCTGCCCTGTTATTCAGATGGAGGAGCAGAAGGAGGCAGAACTGGATGCTCCTGCCCTGTTATTCACCTGGAGGAGCAGAAGGAGGCACAGCTGGATGTTCCTGCCACATTATTCAGCTGGAAGGGCAGGAAGAGGCAGAAGTGGATGCTCCTGCCCTGTTATTCAGCTGGAGGAGCAGGAGGAGGCAGAGCTGCAGCTGCTGTGGGCACCCTGACCTTGTGCCCAGCCCAGCCATCTGCAGCTTCCCAAGGTTTTCCTTGATTAAAGCAAGCAGCAAGGCCAGAGAGCTCTGCCACCCACCTGCCCCAGCTCTGCTGTCTGTCCCAGGGTCCCAGAGCTGTCTGTCTGTCTGTCCCCAGCCCTCAGAGCAGCCTCTCCTCACCTGTGCAGTGGTTGATTCTTGTCATTTCCTCTCATCTTTCCCCAGTGCACAATCCCAGGGTGTTCTGACCCCACAGCTCTGCTCAGGGTGGGCATGGGCTGAACTGGCTGTGCCTGGGAAAGATGCAAAGGTGGAGAATCTGCTGTGGAGCAAAGGGTGTCAGACAAGGCCAGGAGAACAAACTGATTTCCTGCAGCCCCTGCTCTGACCCTCCTGCTTTTATGTTCTCCAGACACTGATCCTAACCAGTGTCTGGAGTTCACTCTTCAGGAGAAGCAGGGGGTGTGTGGGATTCCTGCCATTTGTGAGTTCAGAAAGCAAAGCTCTGGCATTTGTGATCCATCACTTTACATCAGCTGAAGAATTAAAAAGTGGCTCCTCATCCCAGGGTATTTATGACCCTGCTGTTCTCGCTTGTGCCTGTGCTTCCTCCTGATCCAGATGTCCCCCTGAATGAACAGCCCTCCTGTGACCTCCTGGTCAGTAAAACAAATGTACTTAGTGACAATAATGGAGGTCCCAAATACACTGGCAACTCTGACTGACCAAGAAAATCAGAATTAGCACAAGGCACTGCTGGTGGAACAACATTTTTCTGTTCATCTCTGGTCAAGAAAGGTAAATTGAGCCTGGAACAGTCAGAGAAATGACATGAGGATGGCTGGGGAAATGGAGAATCCTCTCAAGAGTTAAACCAGACCTTGGCTCCTTTGACCCAAAGCTGAGAAACAAATCTGATTTCTGATAAACACTTCAGGGTAGGAAAAGTCAGAAGTGTAAAAAGAGTTACTTAAAATAAAGTCCAGATAATGCCACAGGAACAAATGGGCATAAAGTGGGCACAAAATGGGCATTGCTTGATGTCTGAGCTCTAGATTTTAGAATCTTTAGTACAGCAGCAGTGTGACAGTGTTCACAGGAGTCTGAGGATGAGGGAAGAGATGAGGATCTGACTCCATGTTTCAGAAGGCTTGATTATTTATTATTTTATGATATATATTATATTAAAACTATACTAAAAGAATAGAAGAAAGGATTTAACCAGAAGGCTGGCTAAGAATAGAAAAAGAAAGAATGATAACAAAGGCTTGTGGCTTGGACAGAGAGTCTGAGCCAGCTGACTGTGATTGGCCATTAATCAGAAACAACCACATGAGACCAATCACAGATGCACCTGTTGCATTCCACAGCAGCAGATAACCATTGTTTACATTTTGTACCTGAGGCCTCTCAGCTTCTCAGGAGGAAAAATCCTAAGGAAAGGATTTTTTCATAAAAGATGTCTGTGACACCAGCAGTGTATGAAAGAGGAGAGGAGACAAGAAGCAGCAGCAGATTTGCTTACTCACAACTTTCCCTCCCAGCCAAAGGAAAGCTGGGATGTTCCCAGTGCTCACCAGCTCCTCATGATCTGTTCATTTCTGATTTTTCTCAGGACTCAGCTGCTGTAGAAGCTCACTGTGCCTACCTGACCTCGGGCACTGCCCTGGTGCTGTGCCTGCAGAGGCCCAATGCTGTGAAGAAGCTGCTGGATCTCCTGGGACCAGAGGATCCTCAGCTGGCCCAGGCACTGGATCCACTCCTCTGGAGGGCTCAGTATGGCACCAGCACAGTCCAGAATGGATTTTATGGTAGGTTTTTGTAAAAGAAAACTCCAAAGGCTCGGATATACAAAAATGCAATGTGTTATGTTATGTTTGTTCCCTCCTGTCACTGGATCTGTCACTACAGATCCAGCCTTGGCAGGCACTGCAGGACATTATTGCCCAGGAAACTCTCCCTGTGTTCTTGGTGGCTGAGCTGAGTGTGTCTCAAGCAATGAAATATTCTCCCAGAAGATAAATTCCAAAAGGCTTCCTCCCAGAGCAGCCCCAGCTCTGCCTTTATCAGAACACATTTCCTTTGATCTCTCTTTGCTTGGTCATTTTGTACTTTTAGCTTGGTTATTTTGGAATTATTCCCAAGAACCCATCTGTCTTCCCTGCCTTGTGTGTCCCTTCCTGATGTCTCCATTAGCCATTGGCCAGCTCCAAGATTTCCCAAAGACTCCAGGACATCCTGTAACATCTCCCAGTGCTGAGGGCTGGCAGGACAGAGGTGACCCAAACCTGCTGAGGCAAGCAGGGAAACTCAGCTGCTTCCCATCTGGAAAGGCTCTTTGCAGCTGGCACATGGGCAGAGGCACAGGGCAAGGCAGCATCCTTGGAATTCTGCCCCATCCCAGCTCCTCTGCCAGCAGGGAGGCACTGGGATGTGTGGGGGTTGGTGAAGAATGGGAAAATGGGAAATATGCCTGGAGAGAGCAGCCTGTGGAGAGCCCAACATCATTGCCACAAGGAGGGGAGGATGTCATTCCAAAATTCACAGGGAATTAAGGGTTGGTAGCTCCCTGCCTGTGTTTCTCTTCAGGAATATAAAAGGAATACAGAAAAATAAAGCAATAATTTCTGTAAATCAGGTGAGCTGGCAGGCACTGTGTGCCCAGAGTCCCAGAGGAACTTTCCTGACAAGATCCATTGGATTGTTTGGCTTTTCCCATTGTGCCTGGGCTGTGGAGTCACTCCCTATTTCCATCCATGTCAGGTGGGCTGCTGAGAACTGGCAGGGAGGGAAGGAGCCACAGCTTGGGAGAGAGAACCAGGCCCTTGGTGCAGAGCCTCAGGACTTGGGATCTCAGGAGAGATCCCACAGGGTTTGTGGGAGTGACTGAAGAGCAGAATTTACTTATAATACAAAAAACCAAAAAGTGATCAGGGCTCTCCAAATACTTTTCCATTATCAGCCCAATACTTTTCCATTTCCAGCCCCTGCTTCTCTTGCTCTTGAGAAGAATGAATGGATTGTGTATCCAGATTGCTCTGAAACTCCTCAGCCATGGCTAAGAATGGGTAATAAACATCCCAAATTTCATGTGTTTACTACAGCTGGAGCATCCCCAGCATAGCTCAGTGAAAATGAGCAAGGGGAGCTGAGTCTCATCCCATTTCTGTTGGGAGTTACAGGGAGATCCTTGGATGTTCTGACCCCCTTCAGCCCCCCAGGCTGGGATCTGAGGTTGCTCTGAGCTGAGCCCAGGACTGGCCCACAAATCCCTCCCTGCACCCATTGCAGGAACAGGGATGAGCTGGAGCTAACTCTGCTGGACCTGCCCAGCTGCTCTGCCCTGGAGCCATCTCTCCATGAGCAAAGGAGTGTTCCTAACCCCCTGCACCTCCCACAGCTTTTCCTCCAACACAGTTAAGCTGCAAGAACCTTCAGTGAGTAACTGGGGGACTGTGCAAGCCCATCCTCCTTTCCTAGCAGGGAATACCAGGCTTTCCTAGGTTTGCTCCAGCTGAGGAAGAACTTCAGGTAATGCCTGAAGCAGAGCAAATCCCTGCTCTTCCCTCCCAAAGTGACAAAGGAAATGCAATTGAGATGAAGATGGGGTTCCAGGGAGACTGGTGAACCAAGAAATGCAGCTTTAAACCTGTAGGGCTGAGCTGCAGAGGTGAACCTGCTGCCTCCCATCTCCTCTGGGCTTGGGAAGTCATTGGACTGTGCTTTTAGTGCTTTTTCTTGCATCCAAAGAGCTCTTACATGTGCACCCTGCACTGTCTTGTACCTTGAGAAAGTGAGAGTAAAAGGCTCATTTGGGAGCATTTGTGTTCTCTGTAATGGCACCAATGATGGAAGGTTTGGTGTGGAGCTATGGAAAGGATCCAGCCCAGCTCATACACAGGGATTTAACACAACCTCAGGACTGTAAAGTGCTGCCTTAAGGGCTCTGGCTATACAAACCCTGGAATCATGGTGCTCCAGCAGGGCTGAGTGCTCTCAGGTGGGATCCTGTGAATGGGCAGCCTCCAAGGTGGGAATATTTCAGAGGATATTTGTACCCAGGAGCATGGATCTGTGCCAGCACATTGGCAATCTAGATAAACTCCAATAGAAACAGCTTTTCCCTCTCTAATATTTTCCATCCACAAATCTCCAAACATTCTGAGTAATGCTTTATAACACTGTTGCTTTATAGGGAAATATTCAGCTGCTGAGCCTGGAGGGACCTCTCGAGTCACTGAGTTCAGTTAATTCCCTCACAGACAGCCCCATCACGTTTTCCCTTCCATGAGCACCCACCCCAACTGAATGGATGTCACAGAGCCTTGAGAGCTAAAAAATCTTCTTATATTTTCAAACTTAAATATAGCCACATACACTCTGTGCCCATTTGTTCCTGTGCCATTATCTGGACTGTATTTTAAGTAGCTCTTTTACACCTCTGACCTTTCCTACCCTGAAGTGTTTATCAGAAGTCACATTTGTTTCTCAGCTTTGAGTCGTGTTGGGTCAAAGCAGCCAAGGTCTGGTTTAACTCTTGAGAGGATTCTCCATTTCCCCAGCCATCCTCATGTCATTTCTCTGACTGTTCTAGGCTCAATTTGCCTTTCTTGACCAGAGGTGGACAGAAAAATGTTGTTCCACCAGCAGTGCCTTGTGCTAATTCTGATTTTCTTGGTCAGTCAGAGTTGCCAGTGTATTTGGGACCTCCATTATTGTCACTAAGTACATTTGTTTTACTAACCAGCTGCTCTTCCCCTTCAGTAAGGGCAGCCTGGTGTGATCCAGAAGCAAGGGAACAACAGGATTTAGAGCTGGAATTGAAAGGTTTCACAGCCTCCTGAACATGATTCCCTCAGCTCCACTGTTAGGAAATAGAAGGGGTCTTGTTTACAAGAGGAAGCTGCTGGGTGATAGTAGGACAAAATCAAAATACCAAGGAGGCAATGGAACTATTCTAAATATAATGGTTTAAAATGTTTGCTATTACTGTACAGAACAGCTGGCCTTTAGAGCAATTACTGCAGTGAGTTGCACATCATCAATCTCTCCAAAAGATGAGTGTGAGTCTAGAGAATGTTTAATTCATGGCCTGAGAGAATCTTCTCATTGTGTTTCTCTCTCAGGCTCCAGATCCTATGCAATGGCAGTGCAGGATGTGAAGCTGTTTTTCCCAGAAGGGCTGTGCTGTGCCCAGGCTCAGCCAGTGCAGGAGCAGGAGGTAGGAACGAGCCCCTTCCTGAGCTGACCCAGCCGTGCCACCCTGCTATCCCCTGTTGATAATGCAGCTCTGGGTGTGTTTCCTGAGCTGCCAGGCTCCCCTGGCCCTGGGCATGTTCCTCCCCCTGCACTGAGCCCAGCAGCCTCGGTGGGGAGGAGCTGCTGCAGATGTGTTTGTTCAGCAAGCTCTGCTGTGAATCTGGGAGGGCTCAGATCAGCACTGCTTTGGAGCAGGGACAGCAGCCTCACCCTGGCTGCTGAGCACTCTGCACCCAGGAGCTGGTTTTATCAGCTCTGGATCATTCAGGGATGGGATGGGATGTGGAATTGATTGGGATGTGCTCAGCCAAGGGAGGGAAAGGTTTGAGTTTTGCTGTGGCTCAGAGGTGATCCAGCTGAGATGCCCTCCCAGGAGATGAGCTCTGGAAATGGCCACATCTGTAACAGACCTCATTTATGTGGGTGTGCAGCTCAGTGCAGGGCACCCTGCCTGTGCCAGTTCATTCAGGGACACAGGGAGCTGCTGCACCCCAGGTGGCACTGGGGAAAGCTGTCAGACCCTCCCAGGCTCTGTTTGAGCTCCTGGCCTTGAAAACCTGGGAGTGGAGACTTTAAAATGATGGCTGGACATGGGACCTTGAAAAGGATGATGAGATGCTGCACTGAATTAAGCCTCAATTAAAAGAAGAATGCTTGCAAAATGTTCTTGTCTCTCCAGACAAGCAGGTGTTTTCTAGGCTGGCAATTACAGAAGTACACCACAACAACAAAAGCTTCACAGCTTGCCTGAATCAATACTTGAGGAGTGTTATCCCTCCTCATTAGGTAATGTGTTCACATGACTGGCTTCTCCCTCCCTCCTGCAGATCCATAACCTGAAACACGACCCCATCCTCAGCCTGGGAATCAGGAAACAGCACAAGATCCTCACCCATGAGCCAGGAAAACACCCCAGTGTCCTGGGCTCTGAGCAGCCAGGCAGTCCTGGTAAGGAAATGTAACTCCTCTCATAGATTGGGGCTGCTATTGATTAATTGGACAGCGAGACAAACCATCTGGTGGCAGCAAGATTGGGTATTGATGTGCTTTCAGAAGGGAGAGACAGCTCTGAGCTGCAGAGAACAGCTCCAGGGGAGTCCAGCCTTTAACTGTTCACCTGCCAGCCCTTCAGGGCTTTACAGACAGAGCTGTCCACCTTAGCAGCAGCAGCAGCAGAACAAGCACTGACAGCACAGCTGCAGTCAGAGCAGCCCTTGTTCCTCTCTGAGCCCTCCCAGGTGTCTCAGCACAGCCCTGGTGGTTTGTGTCCATCCAGAGCCTGCCCTGGAGAGGCTGCAGGGCTGGGCAGGGTGAGCTGTGCTGTGTTGTGAGTAGATAAATATCAGCTGGTGCAGGGAGTGCTGCTGGCAGCGTGGCCAGAGGCCTCTCCTGAGCTGAGCTGAGCTCTCATTCAGCTCCCAGTGCTGCTGAGCAGCTGCCAGCTCCAGATGACTCCCAGCCATGGCCAGGCTGGCTTTGATTGGGAGCTGGAGCCTCAGCCAGGCTGACACTTTCTGAGTGCAGCAGCTCCTCAAGGCTTCTCCTGCTGATTTGGCTTGATGGACATGTGTAAACACAGCTGTGCTGCAGGGCAGGAGATGGCTCTGCACGAGGGGATGCTCCCACCTTGGGATGCTGTGGATTGATCCCAAGCCTTTATAAACAAGCAGGGACCAGGTGAAAGCAACCCTGTGGTGGTCCCTGGGGAATAGAATTGTTTAGAGCAATTATTCCCATTCCTGTGGCTTCAGGACTGATGTGGGCAGCTCAGAAAATGTTGCTGTACTACACCTGATCACTGCAGTCCTTAATCCCAGCTGTGGCACCTCAGGATTGCTGTGGGTGGGAGAGGAGCAGGGTAAAAATGACAGAATCACAGCCCAGCCCTGCCTGACACAGGATTTTGGGGGGCATTGGTCACTTACCAGCAGGTGCAGAAGTGCAAGGAGGGGTGGTAAATCAAGTCCTCTGCTCCTGGGGTGAACACCAAGTGACTTTTGTGCAAGGAGTCTCTAAAGGAAGATTTGTCCCAAGGTTTTTGAGGAGGGTGTTTTCCCCATCATCTTAGTGCAGGTTTGCTGTGACCAAATCACTTGATTTGTAGAAGAGATTAGATAAAACAAAATAAAATAATGAACCATCTTGTTGTGGAGAGAGCACAGGTATTCTGCAGGCTTTGCACAGCTCAGTGTCAGGAGCTAATCTCAAAATGCATGCCCCTAATTTCCTGCTACACGAGGATATCTCAGCTTTGAAGATGCCTAAGCAGAGTAAAAAGGAAAGCTGTGTACAGCTCTGATGTGTTTGTGTCTCAGGAAATGTATTTCAAAGAGTTACTGCCCTGGAAAAGCAAGTCCACGTGATCTCTGAACTGTCAGGCACGATCTCATGAGTGCCTCCAGCAAAGCAGACACATCACTCACGTTCTGGGCTCTTCTTGGACACTAGAGGAAGCTCTTGCACACAAGGAAAGCTCCTTCCAGCAAATAATTATCACGAAGCTGCTGCCTAATGGACAGACAGATTTATCAGGAGGAAAATATGAAATACATTAAGCCTCACGTATGCTGAGCAGAATTACATTTGGGATTATAAAAGCAGCTGGATTAGCAGCTCTCTGTGCTTGGCAAAAATGGAAATGGGAGAGGAGCTCCTGTAGCAAACCAGCAGTTGTCCTTGTCTGACTCCTGAAATGGGGTCACTCCTGCTGCCTTGTGATCTCCAGTCAGGGACACAGAGGCGTGCAGCAGCTCGGGGTGGGCACCTCCCAGGGCACCTCCCAGGGCTCATCCCTGGGCACCTCCCAGGGCACCTCCCAGGGCACATCCCCAGGCATATTCCAGGATATCCCCAGGGCATGTACCAGGACATCCCAGGGCACCTCCCCAGACACATCCCTGGGCAGCTCCCTGGGTTTATCCCCAGGCACCTCCCAGGGCACCTCCAGGGCACATCCCAGGGCACATCCCCAGACACATCCCTGGGCATGTCCCAGGGCACTTCCCAGGACTTTCCCAGGGCACCTCCCAGGGCACATCCCCAGGCTCGTTCCAAGGCACATCCCAGGGCATCCCTGGGTACATCCCTAGGGTTTATCCCCAGGCACCTCCCTGGGCACATCTCAGGGCACATCCCAGGATATCCCTGGGCTTATCCCAGTGCTCATCCCAGAGCACATCCCTGGGCACCTCCCAGGACATCCCAGGGCTTATCCCCAGGTACCTCCCCGGGCACCTCCCCAGGCACATCTCAGGGCACATCCCAGAATATCACAGGGCACCTCCCTGGGCTCATCCCAGTATATCCAGGCCACATCCTTGGGCTCATCCCAGGCACCTCCCAGAGCGCATTCCAAGGCACATCCCCGGATTTGTCCCAAGGCACCTCTCAGGATATCCCTGGGCACCTCCAGGGGCACATCCCATGGCACATCCCAGGACATCCCCGGACACCTCTCCAGGCACATCCCAGGGCACCTCCCAGAATATCCCAGGGCTCATCCCTGGGCACATCCCAGACACCTCCCCAACACCGCAGTGCCCCCGACTGCCGCGGACACATCTGTGCCAGGGCAGAGGCGCTGAGAGGGCTCAGAGGTGCTGGGGGCAGAGACCCACCAATGTTGTGTTCCTTTCCCAGCAGGTGAGGCCGTGCTGGAGCAGCTGTGGCCCAGCACGTGCCTGGTGCTGCCCGGGCTGATCCTGCGGGGCCCGGAGCCGCCCCCGTACGTGGCGCTGCTGGAGGAGCTCCTGGGCAGAGGCTTCCTGCTGACCGCAGCTCGGCTGGCTGTGCTGGACTCAGCCCAGGCTCTCTGCATCTCCCAGATGCTCAGCAGGGCCAAGGGCAGCGTTGCAGCAAAGGTATGGAACAGCTGGGGCTGGGCTTTGCTTCCTTGGCACTAAAGAAGAGCCTTGTAATGACGCCTTGCTGGGATGGTGCTGCCCCGAGGCTGTGGCGGCACTGTTGCAGCACTGCCTCTGAGCCCTGGCACCTCTGGTGAAGAATGTGGGCACTGGGGGCACTTCCTGATGGTCCTGCATCCCTGGGAGCCCTCATGGGAATGGCCCATCCACCCCTCATTTATTGAATGTCTCATTCCAGTCAGCCATCACCCTGTTCTGTGTGCTCTGCTGCTGCCTCCTCTCTTGTTTCTCCACAGCAATACAGTTTCTATCTCCCTCTCTGTAATCACACCCCATTTTTTTACAGGGGTAATTACAGGATTACCCCTGTAATCCTCCTCTACAATGCTAAAAATCCCTTTTTCCTCTTGGACTGTGCCCTGGAGCCTGAGGTTTTCCCACCTGGAGTGTTGCCTCCAGCTCTGGAGCTCCCAGCACAGAAAGGAGCTGGAGCTGCTGGAGCCAGTGCAGAGGGGGCACCAGGATGATCAGAGGGATGGAGCAGCTCTGCTGGGAGGAAAGGCTGAGGGAATTGGGATTGTTCACCTGGAGAAGAAAAAGCTTTGGGGTGACCTCACTGTGGTCTTCCAGTGTGGGAAGGGGCTACAAGAACAATGGACAGAGACCATTTACAAGGGATGGAGGGACGGGACACAGGGAATGGCTCCCACTGCCAGAGGGCAGGGATGGGTGGGATATTGGGAATTAGGAATTGTTCCCTGGCACAGGGTGCCCAGAGCAGCTGTGGCTGCCCCTGGATCCCTGGCAGTGCCCAAGGCCAGGCTGGATGGAGAACCTGGGACAGTGGGAGGTGTCCCTGCCCATGGCAGGGGTGGGACAAGATGGGCTTTGAGGTCCCTTCCAGCCCAGGCCATTCTGTGGCTGTCAGCAGGTGCAGCCCTGGAGTTTGGCACAGGATGTGCTGCTGGGCTGAGCTGACATTGCTCCACACAGCAGAGAACCAGGCCCAGAGTTTTCCTCTTGGTGTAGGAAAAGCCCACCCAGTCAGGAACCTTGCCTGGGCAGAGCTGGGAGGTGGAATGGGCAGGAAAATGCTGTCAGCAGCACAGAGTAAGCAAGGGGGACAGTAATGACAGTGGCAATCACCCAAGGGCTCTCAGACCACAGCAGCCCCTTCACAAAACACAAACATTTGGGCTTCCAGCTCTCAGTTCTAAGTCTTGGGTGTTATCTGTAATAGGAGCATGTAAGATCTTTTCAGGTTGTGCTTTTAAAAACTGACACATCCCTTTGAAGTACATCTGTGTGGAACAGCAATTACATCTAGCAGGCAATTATTGTAAGCACTGCTTGCCTGTGCCCTGAGTCCCCTGAGGATCCATCCCCTGCACTGGGAATAATGTGCACAGCTCTCTAGGAAGGACACTGGGGGAGCAGAGCCATCCCTCCCTCCTCCTGTCAGAGATAAATGGCCCTGGGGTGTTTCCAGAAGGATCTGGCGCAGCTGAGCCAAAGGTGAATGTCACAGCCTTTGCTCTCCCTCTCTAGGAGGGACATGGGCTGCTTCAAGTAATCAGTGTTTCTGCTAAAATATCTCAATATTTACCTGTCTTGGTGTTCCTGCTTCCAGCAGAGGTAGGGAGTGATAACACACCCAGACACTGCTGGTTTTCACTCAGAGGGCTGTGGGGATCACACACAACTCAGACATGGCACTGCCTCTGCCTGGGGGGATCTGCTGCTCTGTGGCTCCTGTTCCTCACCCATCAGCCACACTCAGAGACTTGTTCAGGCGCAGAGCAGCACCAAAGCTCTGCTCCTCCCTCTCTTGCAGTGCTCCCTGCTGAAGGATGGGCTGTGCCTGGTGCTGGCAGCACAGTGGGACAGCTCTGTCACCTCCCTGGGCTCCCTGCTGGACAGGTAAGAAGGGCACCTCTCTTCTGTGCCTCTCACTCAAGGGCAGCCTGTTCTGGGTCAGTCACTGGTCATGGAATTGTTCAGGTTGGGAAAGATCAAGTTCACCGTTAATCCAGGCCCTCAAGTGCCACATCCACACATTTTAACTCTTCAAGGGATGGTGACCCCACCACTGCCCTGGCAGCTGTGCCAGTGCCTGACCACCCTTCCCATGAAGGAATTTCCCCAATATCCAACCTGACCCTCTCCTGGCACAGCTTGGGGCTGTTTCCCTTTGTCCTGTCCCTGTTCCCTGGGAGCACAGCCCGACCCCCCCTAGTTAGTTCCCCCCTCCTGTCAGGAGCTGTGCAGAGCCACAAGGTCCCCCCTGAGCCTCCTTTGCTCCAGGCTGAGCCCCTTTCTCAGCTCCATCAGCCCCTCCTGGTGCCCCAGCCCCTTCCCTGGACATGCCCTCAATGTCTCTTGTCATGAGTGGCCCCATACCTGAGAGTGTCCCCCAGTTTCCAAGCCATGTGTCCTCTACTCAGGACCTTTAAAAACCAAGTTGTGTCCTTTGTTAAGGACCTGCAGTGTCCATAAGGTTCCATGAATGCAGGGAATTCTCTGAAATTAGGAGTCACATTGGGAATAGACCTGCTGAATCAATAAAATTCCTAGGAGAAATATCTTAGCAGATTTTATGTTTGCTGTGAAGGAAAAGAAAAAAAAAACAAACAGAAAACCAAACCTTAAAATAAACACCAGAAAGCAAAATCAAAAATTAGCCTCTTAAATAAATCACCAGAAAAGCTGGGTAGAGGATGTATAAGCCTGGAAAAACAAACAGAACCCCTCTGCAGGGACTGATTAGTGAAACAGAGTGATTAGCAGGGCAATTAACCCTGTGTTCCCCAGAGGGAAGGGCTCCCTGCACGGGGCTGCTGTTTGGCACTGGCATGAGCAGCTCTCACACATGGCTCCTCTGGCACAGCAACCAGAGTCAGGGCTGTGCCACATCCCTGCCAAAACCCCATCCTGGCTTGGGCTGTGCCCTCTGGAGCACTTCCAGAAAGTGCTGCCAGTGCATTCAGGAATGCTGGAGTTTCAGGGATCCAAGGGATCCAAGCTGAACATCCACGTGGCTGCACTTCAGAGTTCTCACTCTGCAGAAATGTTCCCAGGGCCACACCTGGGAGGGATGGCTGGAACAGATTCCACTGGTAACTTTTCAAAAATGTTTTTAATTTTGACTTCCATTCATTTAAAATCACACCCTTGGGAGCCACATCCCAAACCTTCCTCTCTGCAAGGGAACACAAACAGCCAGTCAGCCAAGGCCTTTGTGGTGAGATTTCTCCCAGCTTTCTCTGGCTTACAATGGGAAAAAAAGTGAACTTTTGGGAACCTGGAGGTCACTGCTGGAGGTAGTTCTGGGAAAGTCACTCCAGATCCCAATATCTCTATTTTCCCCAGCAACACAGCCGTGGGTGCTGCTTAAAGCCCAGCACTCCCCTGTCCTCCAGGCTGGGATTCCAGGGGCCAGTCCCAAGGCAGCCCCTCCAGGGACACCTCCTGGGGCTCCTCCTGGGCCCCCAGGGGCTGAGCAGGAATTGTGCCAATGTCTGCACCTTCACCCCCCTCCTGCTCTGCACAAAGGATGAAATTCTGTGCTGGGCTCCAAAATAACCTGTGTGTGACTTAGGGGGGTCAGGAGGCACTTCCAAAGGGCAGGATCTGCCCAAAGAGCAGGATGCACTCTCAAATGAATGGATCCAGCCCCAAAGAGAAGCATCAAGCCCCATACAGCAGGGTCTAGCCCCAAAGATCAGAATTCACTCTCAAATGAGTGGATCTAGCCCCAAAGAGAAGGATCCACTCTCAAATTAATGGATCCAGGCCCAAATAGGAGGATCTACCCCCAAAGAGAAGGATCCACTCTGAAATGAATAGATCCAGCTCCAAATAGCAGGATCTACCCCCAAATAGCAGGATCCAGCCCCAAAGAGAAGGATCTAGCCACAAACAGCAGGATCCACTCTGCCTCTCCCCACAGTGCCAGAACCAGTGATCACAGAGCCTTTTCAAACCAGCTCTACAAAAAAACACCGAACCAAAAACCCCCAAAAAACCCCAAAAAACCCCCAAAACAAAGAAAAAAATCCCAACATTTTTGCCTTCATGATGGAAAATGCCTGTGGAAGGGAGAGGCAGCAAAGGTGTGCCCGGGGGTGGGAGGAGGGAGGGAGGGCTCTGATCCCCAGGGAGATCAGGAGCTCACACCCTTTCTGTCTGTCAAGCTGTGGAACTTTTTACAATGAGCCTGACTTCACTGGTGCCTCCCAAGGACACTTCATGCCAAGACATCTTCAATTTAAATAACACCAGAGGTTAATTACTCTCACAGCTCCATCAGCCCTTTGTGTCCCGGATAAATCAGTGGATATTCATCTCCTGTCTCTGCCAGGACCCAGCATTGCAATACCTGCCCTGCTGGAGCCTCACCGTGCTGAAGGGATTATTTTCCAGATTTTCCAGCCCTTGAGTCCCAGCTGAGCCACATTTCTCTGGCTTTGTGCCACGGGGAGGGAGGGACGTTCCCATCGGTGATGTCAGAGATGGGCTGGGATAAAGAGGAATCAGGTGTTGAGAGGAGCAATGTGGGCTCTGCCAGTGAAGCTGCTCCTGGTCCTGAGCAGCTCTGCCAAGGACAGGCATTCAGATCTGGGGGTTTGGAGGCACCCCAAACCTTCCTTTCTGTGTTTGCTCAGCAGCAGGGCCCACTCTGGCTGCTCCCTGGGCATCCAGGGCATCATTTCTGCACCGAAACCCACTGGGCACACAAAAAGGGACAGAACAACACAGCTGTGGGCACAAAATCAGCCTGGCACTTTGGCTGGGGTGTGCCAAGGGCAGCTCACAGGGCACAGGGGGTGTTTGGACAGGTGAGGGAGCAGTGGGGACCCCAGAAAGGGAACTGACCCCATCCTACCCACAGCCAAGGGAAAAGCATGTGGGACTCACCTCCCTCGTTCTGGCAGCATGTGGCTGCCTGCATGGCTCAGGATAAAGCATCTGAATTTTCCCTGTCATAACTTGTTTTCACAGCCACATTTCCTGGCTGCAGGGTGGCAGAGGCAAGAATTTACAGCAATAGATTCAAAGCAACTCCTGGAAGGAAGGCATGCTCTGCTTTTTATGCATGACAAACCAGATTTAGCTGCCTTAAGAGGTGATGCTGGTTCCACAGTGATTACTCCTCTATGGTTTAAGCATTTAAAAAGCACTTTAAGGTTGTCAGGACCTGTGTTGTGCACAGACTTAGCAGCTCACCTGGTTAATTCAGCTCCATAGGTGAGGTTTGGCTATAAAGCACCCCCAAAACCGAGCTGCAGCAGGAAAAAATTAGAGTTTTAGGCCAGGCTTTGTGCCTTCCAGCCTGGAAACGAGGGACTGCAATCAGAGCAGAAGCCAGGAGCTGAGGAACTTAGCTGGATGTTTTTCTCTCTGATGAAACATTCTTACCAAGCGCTAATTGCTGCTAGCAGGGAGTGATGTTATCCCTATAGGAAACTCATCCCGGGGAGCTTGGGAGGGGAAGGAGGTGTAGAAATTTAAAAAAAAAAAAGGAAAAAAATGAGCACATGGGGTGTAAAATCTCGGAGCTGTTGAAAAGCAGGGAAGGGAAAACTGTTGCCAAGCACAATACCTGGCTGTGGAGGAGGGAGCAGGGAGGGGTTTCCAAAGCCTCGGGGGAATTCTCAAGCCTGAGGCTCCGAGTTTGCACAGAGTCCCTTCAAAAGGCACTGCTGAGCTTGATAACTTGCCTTTCCATTCCTCTGGAATACGTTTTGGGGTCAGGTCGTGTGTGGCTTGAGGAGGGTGTCTTGGTTTGGAAAGACAGGAGTCTGCTAAGGAAGGCAGGAGCCTCCCCTGAAATGGAGAATGTAAACCCACCCCTCTGAATTGCTATAAATTTTAAATTAAGGGGCTCTCAGGCAACAAAAATTATGGGAGCAGGAAATAAGAGATCTTTAATAGGGAAAAGAAAAAAAAAAAAAAGCATAAAATAAACAATGCAGTACACTAGAACAACACTGCCAGAGTCAGAACCCAGCCTGACACCCTGTGGGTCAGGGTGTTGGTGGCAGTCCAATTGGAATTGTGGCTGCAGCCCTCCTGCAGTGTCAGGGCTGGTTCTGCTGGAGCAGGGATCCTGTAGAGAAGGGTGTATTCTTCCTCTGAAGATCCAGTGGAAGAAGAGGCAGCTGCTGTTCCTCTGGGAAATCCAGTGGAGAAGCTGTGCTGGTGTTCCAGAATCTCCAGATTATATCTGGGTAGCAATGCTTGGCTCCTCCCTCTGGGCTCACATCTCCCAATGGGATGCTGTAGTTCTTATCAGCCATGCAGGGACATTCAATAGCTGTTATCAGCAATGTCCCCTCCCAAGGGAGGAGCGATTGTGGTCACTCAGAGAGAGATAAGGAAAACTGCCCACTTGACAAAAGATAATCTGCCATACAGATGGTAATGTAAAACAACTTGCATTGCAATCTTCAACAGAGGGTCAGAGCAAAACCAGGACTGGTGAGGCAGTGCCTGCTCCCCCTGGCACTGGGGGAAAACACCCAGGAAGCACTGAAAAAAATGAACAAACAACCTTAAATTGCTTTTTTTTATGCATTAAAAAAGTCTTTGGCTATCTAAGTAAGGGAAATGCTGTCTAAAAAGGATGCAGAAATTGGAGCAAAGGTGAAACTCCTTAAACATAGAAGTGTTTTTACCATGTTTGTATTTTGAAAGCATAGAGATAGAAAACACTGATAATTGTTTCTTCACCTGGGGAGTGAAATTAATGAGAAACAGGACTTAGGTATTTTTTCTACTTTTGCAATATTCTGAATAAAGAAACTGTAGTGTGTGAGCAATGTGGAAAAATACCAAGTAGGAACAGGTATTAAACTAGAGTTTAAGTTCCAGCCAGGACCTTATGGTTCACTACAAATTGCTTTCCATCTCTGTCACATAATCAGTGCAGGCTCCCTGTGTTATCTCAGTGCAGGAAAAGCCCCTTGCCCAGGGCTTTTATGTGATTTATGTGCATTTCCCACTGCCCCAGAACCACCCTGATGCACCTGGACGTGGCTTGTCCAGTTTGTATTTAAAGTTTGTTTGAAGGTTTGTATTTAAATAGTGCAAAGCCATTTACACAAAGCTTTGTAAAAGCCAGGATTTAGCTGTGTAAAGAGGAGCAGCAGCAGATGCCTGTGGCTGGAGCTGCTGGCGCAGAGCTCAGCCCTCCCTCCCAGCTGACATGGCAAACTAACCCTGCTTTCCTTTCTCTTTGCCCCCAGTGCCTGCTGGCAGAACCAGTCAGCCCTGGACACTGCAGAGCATCTCCTGTATCCCCAGAATGAGAATCAGGCAAGTAGAGAAATTTGTGCTATGGATATGTGTTCTTTGTGCTCCTGTGATCTAGGAAACTTGTTAATATTGGTTGAAATTTCAAAGAGAATGATAACTTTTGTGAGTCAGAGGTGGTGACAGCCCCAAGCCTTGGCTTAGGCTGAGAGCCCAGAACATGGGGAAGGTGGCACCAAAATCCTGTCAAACTGTCTCCCACATTACAGTGGTGACACAGCTTTGAATCAAAACATTTGGAGATATTGATAAAGGTTCTATATTTTCCATAGAAATTCTGTTACTTTTTGTGAGAAATCAACACTGAGGAAAATATCACAGAATTGTGGAATGGTTTGGGTTGGAAAGGACCTTAAACCCATCCAGTGCCACCTTCCACTGTCCCAGGCTGCTCCAAGCCCTGTCCAGCCTGACCTTGGGCACTGCCAGGGATCCAGGGGCAGCCACAGCTGCTCTGGGCACCCTGTGCCAGGGCCTGCCCACCCTCACAGGGCAGAACTTCAAGTGTCTGTGATATTTGTCAAAAATAGTGACAAGAAATGTTCATTCAGCCAAGCTAGCACAAGTCCTGTGTTCTGGAAGTTGCATTTCAGAAGCCCAAATCCAAGTGGAAGAGGAGGAGTGAAGCCATTAGCCATTCCAGGGATGGTCTAGCTGAATATTTTCTCAGTAATTCAGCCCAAGAAAGGAAACACTGAGCTCCAGACATGTGGGCAGCTAATGGGAATAAACTGCATAAATGCATTCAAAATTCGGGCTGTAATCATCAAAATTTAGCTCAAAACAAATGAGAGGTTTGGAGAGAGGAGGCAGAGCCTGAGGAATGGGATCAGGGGATGGGAAGTCCTGGTGGAGCTGTCCCTGCCCATCCCAGGGGGGTGGATGTGAGCTTTAAGGTCCCTTCCAGCCCAAACCATTCTGTGGTTCTGTGATAAAAGACTTGTGGGGAGTGAGAACCGATAGCAAGTGGACAAACCTCTCCTCTGGATCCCTTTTCTTCCCCAATAAAAGCCCAGCAGGAGAGTGAGATGTGTTTGTAACCTCATCTAACACATCAGAGCTGCTGCCTTCAAGCACCAGTGCTCTAAGGACTGAGCCTTAAAAGACACCGAGCCCTCTTTGAAGCGTGCATTGCTGCTTTTAACAGCGTGCATTCCTGCTTTTAACGCCACAGAACCACCCCGAGTGCCCCGAGAGGCTGAGCTGGGCTCCCAGCCCTGTCCTGAGGGCAAAGCGGGTCCCTGAGCTGGGTTCCTTTTCCTGAGGGCACAGAGCATCCCTGAGTTCCCAGCCCTTTCCCCAGCAGATTCCCTGTCCCAAGGGCACAGAGGGTCCCTGAGCTGAGTTCCCTTTCCCGAGGGTGCAGATGATCCCTGAGCTGGGTTTCCAGCCCTTTCCCAAGCAGATCCCTGAGCTCCCAGCCCTTTCCTGAGAGGATCCCTGAGCTGAGCTCCTTTTCCCAAGGGCACAGTGGATCCCTGAGCTGGGTTTCCAGCTCTTTCCTGAGGGCACAGAGGATCCCAGAGTTCTCAGCCCTTTCTTGAGAGGATCCCTGAGTTCCCAGCCCTTTCCTGAGGGCACAGAGGATCCCTGAGCTGGGTTCTCTGTCCCAAGGGCACAGCAGATCCCTGAGCTGAGTTCCCAGCCCTTTCCCAAGCGGATCCCCGAGCTGGGTTCCCTTTCCAGAGGACAGAGGATCCCTGAGTTCCCAGTCCTGTCCCAGGGCACAGAGGATCCCTGAGCTGTCTCTCCCAAGGGCACAGCAGATCCCTAAGCGGAGCTCTCAAGTCTTTCCCGAGGGCACAGAGGATCTCTGAGCTGGGTTCCTAGCCCTGACCTGAGAGCACAGCAGATCCCTGAGCTGGGTTCCCTTTCCCAAGGGCACAGAGGATCCCTGAGCTCCCTGTCCCGAGGGCACAGTGAATCCCTGAGTTCTTAGCCCTTTCCCGAGCAGATCCCTGAGCTGGGTTCCCTTTCCAGAGGGCACAGAGGATCCCTGAGCTCCCAGCCCTTCCCCAAGGGCACAGAGAATCCGTGAGCTGGGTTCTCAGCCCTTTCCCAAGCAGATCCCTCAGCTGAGCTCCATTTCCCGAGGGCACAGCAGGTCCCTGAGCTAAGTTCCCTTTCCAGAGGGCACAGAGGATCCCTGAGCTGAGTTCTTTCTCCCAAGGGTGCAGATGATCCCTGAGCTGAGCTCCCAGCCCTTTCCCAAGGACACAGCAGATCCCTGAGCTGAGCTCCCAGCCTTTTCCCAAGTGGATCCCTGAATTTCCAGCCCTTTCCCGTGGGCAGAGGATCCCTGAGCTGAGCTCCCAGCCCTTTCCTGAGCAGATCCCTCAGCTGGGTTCCCAGCCCTGTCCCGAGGGCACAGCAGATCCCTGAGCTCGGTTCCTTTTCCTGAGGGCACAGAGGGTCCCTGAGCTGTGCTCCCTTTCCTGAGGGTGCAGATGATCCCTGAACTGGGTTTCCAGCCCTTTCCCAAGCAGATCCCTGAGTTCCCAGCCCTGTCCCAGGGGCACAGAGGATCCTTGAGCTGGATTCCTTTTCCTGTGGGTGCAGATGATCTCTGAACTGGGTTTCCAGCCCTTTCCCGAGGGCACAGTGAATCCCTGAGCTCCCAGCCCTTTCCCAAGCAGATCCCTGAGCTCCCAGCCCTTTCCCAGAGGATCCCTGAGCTCCCAGCCCTTTCCCATAGGATCCCTGAGCTCCCAGCCCTTTCCCAAGCAGATCCCTGAGCTCCCAGCCCTTTCCCAGAGGATCCCTGAGCTCCCAGCCCTTTCCCATAGGATCCCTGAGCTCCCAGCCCTTTCCCAAGCAGATCCCGGCGCTGCAGTGCCCGGGGCACGGCTCTGCGGGGCTCTGCCAGCCCAGCCCTGGCTGCTGCCAGGGTGCCAGGCTGTTGCCAAGGAATGTGACAGGCCAGCGAGTGCAGGCTGTCTCCTGATTTGCTTTGAAAGGACATCACATCTCCGTGCCTGACACAAAATCCCTTCTGCCTGGGGAACGAGCCTATCAGGGACAGGCTTAGAGGGCTTTTTGTGCTAGGGAGGAGAAAAAGCAAATATGCTCAGCCCTTCTCCCTGCTCCTGGCAGCCTGGGGTGTGCAGGCTGATCCCTCTGGAAGCAGGGAGTTCCCAGCAGGAATGCAGTCCTGGGGCACAACCAGCACAGCAGCAGCTCCAATGGGCCTTTGTCTCCCAAATTCAGGAATCACAGCGAGATCTGAGGGGCAAACCCACCGGGAATCTGTTCCTCAAAGGATGGCCCCGGGAATGGTGTTTGAGGCTCTGATCTCCTGCTAATGAGTTTGTGAAATGTCAGCCAGGCTTTGCAGGGCAAAGCTAATGAGCAACAACGCGGTATCAGGCAGAGTTCAGGAGGGTTAAATGAACATGGGTTTCAAATCCTCATGGTCTGAGCAGAGCTGCTGCCTTTGCTGGTGGAGTCAAGCCATGGAAGTGAAATGGAATATCATCCTCACTCCCAGTGTGATTTGGGATTAGGCAGCAGGATGAGAAATCAGCTTCAAACGTGGCCTGGTGCAGTGCTGACATCTGTGCCTGCTCCTGCTGCACTCCTGGAGCTCCTCCAGCTGCCCTGGGTGAAACACCTGCCTGAGGAGCAGCCAAATCCAGGCTTTGGGAGTTCCTTGTTCCCCCAGTGACCCTGCCAGGCACACTCAGCACAGCTCCCATTTGGAAGTGACAGAGCCATGGTTTGTTGGTGCCACCATCAGGGGCTGTGACCTTCCTCAGGGCTGTCTCAGGTGTCCCTGCAGCTGGTCCATGCCCAAACTGGGGTGTCTCCAGTGATGACGGGGTGGTCAGAGGGTGCTGTGCTCAGCCACTGGGATGTCCTGGGGCTGGGCACTGCCCTCACCTGCAGCAGTGACTGTGCCTGGGGCTGTGGGGACAGAGTGGCTGTTCCTTGGTGACAGCACTGACCTGCCACCATCAGAGCAGCACGGTGACACAGTCTCTGTCCCTCAGTGAGAGCCCAGCCTCCCCTGGCAGCAGCAATCCCTCCACTCTGCCTGGAGCCACCCTCCCTGCAGACACCTGAAACACAGGGGAAACCTCCCAGCCCCTCCTGGTGTGACCCTGTCCCCTGAGCAGCAGCAGCAGAGGGGCTGCAGTGCCCTGGAAGAGACTCAGAAGCTGTGAGGAGAGGCAGGGGGACCCAAGGGCTGTGTGGGGTCACAGCACCCCCAGTGCTTTGGGGCCCATTGACGCAGCCAGGGTTGCAGGCTGGGCTCAGCCCCTGGCACCCATTGGCCTCTCCAGCTCACCAACAGCTGTGCCAGGCTTGGGAAGGGCAGGCAGAGCAGCCAGGGAGGGAGGAGATTTCCCCCTTAGCACCTTGCTTGTTGCTGCTTCTCTTCATTTCCTTGCAAATATAACTCTGAGCCTCACAAGGAGCAGTGTCACCTGCTGTGGGACACTCACAGCCGCTCTGTGCTGGGATCCATCCAGCCAGAAACAGCCTCTGCACATAAACCTGCCTCTGGAAAAAAGCTTCTTTGCCACTCACAGAACTCAGAGCTCTCCTCCAACCCTTTCCTTGGTTTCTCCCCAGGCCCAGGAGCTGCTCTGCTGCTTTTTTGACCCCCTGACATCAGAGAGCATCCACCGAATTGAGGCCCAGCACTGCTAGCAGAGAGGGGCAAGGCAGCCTTGGATGCCACTGTGGACATGGTTACACGGACTCCAGCAGCCCTTAGAGCACTGTTTATTTGGAATTAAACACATCTGAGGTGTTAGCATGGCTCAGAGAAATGAGAGGGGTGGAGGAAGGCTCAGTGCCCCAAAACAAACCCCTGTGGAATCCATCCAGAGACAATCTGCTTGTGAGCCTGGAGCAAGGCTGGGGGAAGCTCAGGAGGCAAACCCAGGGCCAGGTGCTCACTCTGTGTCTCTCAGGTGCCTCCTGAGATGGAGAGACTCTGCTGCTGCTGCTGCTGCTGCTGCTCTGAGCCAAAGACAAACCCCATGGAATGGAATGGAAACAGAGGGGGAGCTGCATCCCTGGAGGGTCAGAGCACCAGGCTGAGCTGTTCAATAAGATGAAAGGCTGGACAGCTCAATGCTCACCTGCCTGTGCTCCAGCAGCCCTGTCCTGGGCTGTGCCACCCTGCTCCCTGCCATGGGCACACAGCCCTGCCTCCTCTTCCTCCTCCTGCAGCAGCTGCTGCTCCTGTCAGCCTTTCTGGGAGCCCAGAGGAAAGGAAGCTGCTGTTGATACAAACCCACAGCATTCCTGGGGCATTCTGGGCTCCTTTTCCTTTGGGAAAGGCTCTGCTCAGCCCAAGGCTGCTCAGGCACAGACTTGGACTCTGCCCTGCTGCAGCCTCACCTCAGCTCTGGGGCAGGTGTGGGTGCCACAATATCAGAAGGATCTGAAGCTGTTGGAGTGTCCAGAGGAGGGACCTGGGCATGGGGAGGGTCTGAGGAGCAGCTGAGGGCACTTGGATTGTTCAGCTGGAGGAGGAGACTGAGGGCAGAGCTCAGGGGGGGCTGCAGCTCCTCCCCAGGGGCAGCTCTGATCCCTGGGACAGGGACAGGGAATGGCTGGAGCTGGGCAGGGCAGGGTCAGGCTGGATTTTGGGAAAGGTTCTTCCCCCAGAGGGTGCTGGCACTGCCCAGGCTCCCCAGGGAATGGGCACAGCCCCGGGGCTGCCAGAGCTCCAGGACAGCTTGGACAGTGCTCAGGCACAGGGTGGGAGTGCTGGGGGGTCTGTGGATCCATGATCCTTGTGGTCCCTTCCAGCTCAGGACATTCTGTCATTCCCTGCATGCCTCTGGTTCCAGCCACGGCAGAGGTGGCAGGGACAGGGACAGGGGACAGGGACAGTCCCTGTGAGTGTCCCAGGGGTGAGGGCAGAGCAGTGGCGCCAGCCCAGCTCTGGGTGCTGGGGGTGAGCCTGGGCTGAGCCCTCCTCCCTGCCAGCTGTGACAAGGTGACACCTCTGACATCTGTCCCTTTGCAGATAGACAGAAGTGCCCAGTGAGCCCCAGAGCTGTCAGAGGTGTGGCCCTGCAAGCTCTGCCTCCTCGGCAGGGTCCAGTGCTAACACAGCCCTGCCCTTCCCTAATCCTGGAACAGCAACAGGGATTGTCACAGCCAGCAGAGATTGTCACAGCCAGCCAGGTGTGAGGGGGACACAGTGACCTGGCCTGACCTCACACAGTATTTCAGTCTCACAATCACAGAAACCCAGCCTGGTTTGTGTTGGAAGCAACCTTAAAGCTCATCCCATCCCACCCCTGCTGTGGGTAGGGACACCTTCCACTGTCCCAGGCTGCTCCCAAGCCCTGTCCAGCCTTGGAAGTTTCTCCCACCCTCTGCTCCCCATCCCTGCTCTGCCTGGATGGCTCTTTGGGCTCTGTGGTGGGACCAAACATCTCCACAGAGGAGTGGAGAGGGGAGAGGCAGCTGCCCTGTCCCTGGGGAGGCTGAGGTCCTTGGAGTCATCCTGCTGGAGGAGCCTGCTCTGCTCCTGCAGCTAAGTAGGCCATTTCCTGCACTCCAGGCACATTTCTGTCATGCTTGTGAGCCCTGCACGGCTTTGAAACAAATGGAAGTTAAAAGGATCCACCCCCAGCACTGGGGGAATTTATCTGGAAAAGGAATGGAATAAAGACAGCAGCTGAGGGAGCAGCCCTGAGGAGGAGCTGCATGTGAGGAGGGGCAGCAGAGCCCTGACCCTGCCAGCCTGGTGCCACAGGGGTCACAGAGCCCTGTCCCTGTCCCCGGGCCCTCAGAGCTCTGGGATGGAGCTGGACACGGTGAGCGGTCAGCAGTGAGCCTGGGGAGGTGACATCCCACTGGGTGACATCCCACTGGGTGACATCCCACTGGGTGACATCCCACTGGGACACCCCCAGCCCCCCTGGGCTTGGCAGCAGCACTCCCAGGAGCTGAGACACATTAATTCATTATATAATTCATGGAATTAATTAATAAAAGCAGAGAATTATGAGTGGTTTGGGTGTGAAGGGACCTTAAAGCCCATCCCATCCCCCATCAGCCATGGCAGGGACACCTTCCCTGTGTTGGTGTTCACAGGGGTTCTTGGATTGGGGAAGAAATGAGGATCTGACTCCGTGTTTCAGAAGGCTGATTTATTATTTTATTACATATATTACATTAAAACTATACTAAAAGAATAGAAGAAAGGATTTCATCAGAAGGCTGGCTGAGAATAGAATAAGAAGGAATTATAACAAAGGCTTGTGGCTGGGACTCTCTGTCTGAGCCAGCTGACTGTGATTGGCCATTAATTACAAACATCCAACATGGGCCAATCACAGATGCACCTGTTGCATTCCACAGCAGCAGATAATCAATGTTTACATTTTGTTCCTGAGGCCTCTCAGCTTCTCAGGAGGAAAAATCCTAAATAAAGGATTTTTTCATAAAAGTTTTCTGTGACACTTCCACTGTCCCAGGCTGCTCCAACCTGGCCTTGGGCACTGCCAGGGATCCAGGGATCCACCCTGTGCCAGGGCCTCAGCACCCTCTGAGTTGAGATCAATTCACTGTGTAACAAACCAGGGCCTGGCACAAAACCCATCCCATTTCCCTTCCCCTTCCAGGCATCCCTGCTGAGGTTTGAGCCCTGTGAGCTCCATCCACTGCTTGTGCCTCAGTTTCCCCCCTAGGAAATGAAGGTGGCAGCTCTGCCACATGCCCCAGGCACAGCAGCACCATCCCAAAAATGGGGCAGCACCCAGATATCCCTGAGCAAGAGCTGCTGCAGTGCTTTGGGTTCCTATTTTAAAGCCCAGCTAATTAATCTCAGCGTACCAAACTCGCTCACCCTGCTCAGAGCAGGGGGAAGAATCATCCTCTGGTATTTCCAAAATGCCAGCATGCCAGAAATAACCCTGCCAGCCTTTTCTCCTAGAGAATACCCCACTTGTCTCTGGGGAAGTGACAACCAGGAGCAGCACCAGGAACCCTCCATCCCTCCATCCATGGGAGCTGCAGCTCTTGCACTGTTTTTTCCCTGGAAACTGCCACAAGGCAGCCAGGATTAGCTAATCAGAGCTGAGGAGCAAATTAATGATTGAAAGAACTAGGAGAAAGGCAGATTTGATCCGAGATTGCCAGCTTTGCAGCTGGCTCCTACTTGCAAACAATTCATTTAGATTATGAAAGCAAGAAATTGAGTACAAAACCCCCTAGATTGTTTGCTTCCTGGAGAAAGAAAAGAAAAGAAATGGAATTTAGATTAAAAATTATGCAGAATAGTATTAAATCCCCACCCTCTTGTGCCTCCCCTCTTGCTGGAAAACCAGAGCTAATCAGAATTTTGCATTGTTCTGCTGCCAGTGTCAGAGCTGCCTCAATGGAGGAGAGATAAAATACAGGAGGTGGCATTTGCTGTTAACCCTTTAGGGTCCTGCTGTGGCAGGAATGGGAACACAGAGCCTGGTGCTGGAATCCCATTCTCCCAGCTCCTTTTAGGAGTGAGTGTTGGGGGCACAGCAGCTAATCCTGGCTGCCTTGTGGCAGTTTCCAGGGAAAAGCAGTGCAAGAGCTGCAGCTCCCATGGATGGAGGGATGGGTTCCTGGTGCTGCTCCTGGTTGTCACTTCCCCAGAGACAAGTGGGGTATTCTCTAGGAGAAAGGGCTGGCAGGGTTATTTCTGGCATGCTGGCATTTTGGGAATACCAGAGGATGATGCTGCTTCCCCTGTGGCTGCAGAGGGTCAGCACCCAGCTCCCCCAGCAGTGCCTGGGGCTGGCCCTGGGTCGCAGCCAGCACCCTCAGCCTGGCCAAACTGACTCTTTCACCCCAAAAAAGAGTGGGGTTCTGCTTCAGCCCTGTGCACATGGGCCCTGCTGAGCCCTGGCAATGTCCCTGAGCCACCAGCCTGGGGATGACAGCACAGCCAGCAGGATTTGCTGCCCACCCACCAAACTCAAAATTGGGCACTTGGGTTTCACCTCCTGAGGTCCATGGAGCATCATCCACACTCACCAAACTTGATAACCCTGAGCCAGGCACCTCCCATGCCCACGAATATCTGCCTTGCTCTGGCTGACAGAGCCAAAAGCATTTGGCTCTATTGGCCAAGAGCCACTGCTGATCCCCAGGGACCCCTCAGAGCCCCTGCCAGGGCCTGAAGGGGCTCCAGGAGAGCTGGAGAGGGACTGGGGACAAGGGATGGAGGGACAGGACACAGGGAATGGCTCCCACTGCCAGAGGGCAGGGATGGATGGGATATTGGGAATGAGGAATTGTTCCCTGTGAGGGTGGGCAGGCCCTGGCACAGGGTGCCCAGAGCAGCTGTGGCTGCCCCTGGATCCCTGGCAGTGCCCAAGGCCAGGCTGGGCAGGGCTGGAGCAGCCTGGGACAGTGGGAGGTGTCCCTGCCATGGCAGGTGTTTGGGTGATCTTTAAGGTCCCTCCCAACCCAGCTCTCCTTCCATGGCTGGGATATCACAGGGGGTGGCTGGTCCTTGCCTCTCTCCCTGGGGTGGGACCAGGACTGGGCTCCAGTCCCAGTTCTGTCCCATGGGGGCAGTGCCCTTTCCCCAATCCCTGATCTCCCCCTTCCCAGGGCACCACTGCAGGCCTGTGGCAGCAGGAGCTGGTGATTAATTGGTCCCTGGCACTCCCCCTGGCAGGGCTGGGGGAGCACAAAGGGCTCTTTGTGCGATCAAGGGGCTGGGATGAGTCACCCACAGGGAATGAGCCCAGGGAATGGGGATGCTTGGCCAGAACAGGCCCAGGAGCTCCTGCAGGCTCTCACTGGGGC